CCGATATCATTGTTGCTCTATCCCGTCGCTGAGTTTGAGAAGAACATCTCATGTTTTGCGACCTCAACGGCGTCAACCCAGCTCGATTGAATCCCGGCGGTGCCCTTGTAGATGATGGCGGGCGGCAATACCTCACCAGAAGCGCATACGCAAGCCAGCAGCGTTACCCATTCTCTGTTGCCATCCTGTATCGCCGCCTTGATCTCTCCCGACGCCCACAGTGCCTTAGAAAAGACGCGCTTTGTGCGGTTTGTGATGCCGATGAAGAAGCCCTTCTCATCCATATTGTAGGTATTGCGCGCGTCAACGTCGTACTCTCGCATTTTCGAATGCAACAAGTCGAAGTATAGACTGTATCTTTCTTCTGAATCAGCGTTGTGACGTTTGCGATCAATCCCGGTGCTCCATTTGATGGGGAGCTCGTCGGCATGGCGATGCAGAAAGCGGGAAACCCAGGCTGTGGAAACCTCATTTTTAACTATCGTCGCCGCGAAATTTTGTATCATTTCACGCGTAGGAGGAAGCCCTTGGCGAGTACAACGTTCTATGTATAGCACAAGTTCATGCTCTTGTTGTAGGTTGAGATTTTGGCGGTCTTGGGCAGCTTGTTTGACTTTAGACGGTTGTGCGCCTTTGTGCCGTCGCGACAGCGTCGTTCGATTAACTCTATATATTTTTGCAACTTAGCGGTACGAGAATTTATCTCCAGCCTCACGCGATTCAATATATTCAATCGCTTCTTGAATCAGATCCATGGTTGTGGAGTTACGACGCGTCAAAGGTGGGTGGGTTCACAATGCGGCAGTTTGGTGGGGTGGCTCGTTGACTGTACTGGCTCGTTGGCTGCGCACGGATAGTAGGTTAGGTTAGGTTAGGCGTTGCAGGACCGATGAGCTCAGCTCATGTCAAGTCAAGTCAGCATCAAATGCAAGGCAGCCAGCACAGTCTGTGGCGTCAAAAAGTAATGGGTTAAAATGGGATGTAGTGTGTGACTCTAGATATATAGTATATATATATATATATATGTGGGGGCTAAAAGGGCATGCAACGTGAGCCCGTAAGTATTGTTGTCTCTGACAGAAAAAAAACCCCCCGTGTGTGTTGGTTCAAAGGTAGTTATTTGCATCACGGCCAATATGCTTGGATATAAAGCTATGGATTGGAGTTGAACGTATATATCTATATTGATGATGATAATATCAAAGCCAAAGGGAACCTCCCATACAGAGTCGCTCTACAGCGAGAACAAAGGATAGTAGTAGGGGGGGGAGAGGGAGGGAGGGTATATAACATATTCTGTGAAACAGATACACACACAAAGGGGAAAAAAAAGGGGGGGTTTCCACCATGCTTTCCATGCTCCTTGGCAAACGGCCATTGAGAAAACAGAAATAAACGAACAAACAAACAACCTCCAAATGAATCAAGCAAACCCCCCAGAATCACAAGTCTTTTTTCTTTCATTCATTCATTCGTTCATTCATTCAATCATCGATGCAGCTCCCTAGACGCACGATCCAACCGTCTCACAACGGAACCAAGCACCACCTTCAACAAGCCATGAGCGGTAAGTCTCTGGCCGTCATCGCCGCTAAACGGGACTGTATCGACGATATCGCGGAGATTGTCGTCGCGAGCCAGCTCTGCGAGTCCGTCGTCGAGCTGCTTGAGGTGCTCGCGGGCCCCGGGTTCACGACCGACCTGGAAGAACTGGATGCCGACTTGCCAGGCGGGGGCGTCGAGCTTGTCGAGTTTCTTGGCGGCTTGGATAATTGCGGATTCGACGTCGTCCGAGGGCTCGCCGTCGGTGATGACGATGATGTTGATGGGTTTGGTCTTGTCGTCTTGCTCGTAGCGCTGCAGGTACGGCTTGAGGATCTTGTGTAGGTGCTGGCCTGTGGGCGTGGCGCCGCCCGGGCGCACTGTCTGGAAGATTTCGAGAATGGTGCTCGGGCTGGTGATGTGCTTGTATAGAGATGAGTCTGGGTGGTTGAGAAAGTAAATGTCGATGCCGTCTTCGTCGTGCGCAGTGCAGATGGGCGTGATGGCTGCGAGGGCTTCTTGCGTCTCGCGCCATGAACGGCCTGCCATGGATCCCGAGTCGTCGATTAGGAAGACAGTGTCAAAGGTCCGGAGGAAGGCGTAGGGATCAGAGTCTGATGTTGCTGCTGGCGAGGACGCTTGAAGTGCGCTCGTGTTTTGAGCTGGACCAGGGGTGTAGGCCGGTGGAGCGTCGTTAGACCTTGGCAAGCCCATGGCGAAGTTATCTTGATGCTTGTTAGTTGTGATATGTACAGGACAGGGATTGAGTAGTCTTACTTGGCCTTCGTGTCGCAGGTGATGAAGTAAACGGGTTAGTCGATGGCGGCGAGTAATCGTTACTCGAAGTCGACGACTTGCGCGTTGATAAAGCTCTCTTGACCTTGCTAAACATGCTTGTTGGTTGGTGTGAAGAAGACTGGGTTGGAGCGTGGTATGAAGAATGATTCAAAAAGGCAGAGGGGGTGGCGCAGTGGTGTGAAGAAAGTGAAAGCGACATGGAGCAAAGACTAGCAGACGTGGCAAAGCAAACCAGGTACGATTGGTAAGGGCTTCAGATGAGGCGATCCGTGCTTGAATGCAGGAGCATGTTGTCCCACGGTTTGGGTGTAAACGCTTTATAACACTGCATACACTGCGTGCCCTGTGCCGCTCTGCCTCGTTGTAAGCCTGAAGTAACTCATCCATCACGCACCCGCTAGTTTCAGTAAAAGAACAAACCTGCCGCGCATTCCGAGTGCGTCAGGGTCTTTCTTGACCCTGAGGGTTGTGGCTGTGTACGCCGGGCTGAGCAAACTTGCTACTCGGGGCCAATCATGCAGCTGCACAGCCGACAATGAACGTGACATTATTCGCCCTGTATCGCGCCACTGTCATTTGATCTATCAGCATTAAAAGAAATGCTTTAGCGCACACACAAATCATCCATTCAACATCGCTTAGAGGTAGCTTGCATACTAGAGTCGTGGTACCGAGTACAGTCTTCCCGCTTTGGTGGCAACCTTCCTTTTTGGTCTGCCCGAGGGATCAGGCATACAACAAGGCAGCATGTCCTTCCTCGGATTCTATTTTCAAATGCGCCGTCTCTAAAGCGCAAGACAGGTGGTGAGCGTCGAGCTTAAGGCAATTTGATGGTGCGCAGATTCCACAACAGCTGCCAGGCTGAAGCGGGGTGGCACAGTATAAGGCCTGAGAAGCTCGCTAGACGCAGAAAAGGCATCCAAGATTAGACCTATACAGGCCTAGTAGGCCTCAGCATGGCCAACTCCTCAATGCCCATCCCTTGCCGTCCAGTCTCGCTCCCTAGCCATGAACAAATCCCTTGCCGCCACGTGCCTGGCAAGGCAACCACTCGGCGTTCTTTGATGTCCTTTGCGCGCTACTCCGCTGGTAAGGATTCGGTTACCAATTGCCGATCTTGGTAGAACCCACAGCACCGGTCTCTTACACAGGTGCCAGGCGTACTCGTTGCGGTGCTTGTTCCAACATTCAGCGCAGATTCCAACATCTGGACTACCGGTGTCGAGGCTGAGCTGGCTCTGTATGAGATCGAGGAGCGGAAGTATGCGTGATCGCAGTCCGCAGTGGGCGTGGTTATGGTCGATTTGGTAGTTTGAGCATTGCCGAAGAGACGATAGCAGACGCTCAATATCTCCAAGATAGTATGTTGGCTCGGTGTTGTCGTAGATCTTGCCCTGCAACCGCACGGTATCGATCTTGCAGAAGAACCGGACCATTTCTCCAAGCTGGAACGAGTCACATTGCAGCGACGTATCGTAGCCTAGCTTGCACTGCCGTTCGCCAGAGGTGTACAACTTCAGGAAATGCGACTGCAGGGAGTTGATTGTCTCGAGAAGGTACTCTCGCCGTTGAATCAGCTCGTCCTCGACACCATTGGGCATGTCCCACCACAATGCCTTTGTGTGGTCCTCCACTGTGCCCGGCTGCCATTGTACAGAGTCGCGCATGATCAGATGCTTCGAGTATCGCGTTACCCACGAGGGGTAGTCGAAAAGAAGGCCGACGAACAGCTTTTGCCGTATCCTCTCTTCCGTCTGTGATGCACTTGGCTTGCCTCGCAACTTGGCCTCGATCAAGTTCAGGTACTTCTTCTTCTGGACGTATTTGGAAAGGCACGCGACGGCATCGAATCGGTCGGCGACAACAGCGAGGTTGGCAAGATTGGCCACGGGAGGCGATGCGGCGAGGTCGAGGCCATGAAGAGCACGCAGGAAGTCTGCGAGCAGATTTCGAATGGACGAGGTTTTGGCCACTGCTACCCGGCCAACATTGACAATGGATATGTGGGGAAGCACGTTGTCAGGCGCCTCGCTGATATCCTTGTGCCCATTCAATCTAAGCGCCTCCAGGCTCTTTGCTAGCTGCTGCCCCTCGTGGAAACGGTCACTGAGCAGGTTTTCAAAGTATCGCGAGTTTTGCTGGAGCGTCTGGGAGTCGACGCGGTAGGAGAAACGCTGGCCCGCCTCTTCCTGGGCGGCATCGAGGATGAGGTCGCCGCCTGCTGCAATGACCAGCAGCCCCTCGTCGTCTGACATGGTTCAAGTAGTGTGGGTGGTGACTGTGCAAGGCGTACTTCCTCATGGGTAGGGCCAGAACATGATGGCTTGATTTGATGGCAACTCGGCGTGGGTGAGGTGGGAGGCTGAGGTCACAGCGGGCGGGCGAAGCCTTGCCATCAGTCGGACCGGCGGCCAATAGGGGCTAGCGGGCTGCGGCTAGTGGCGCTGACCCCCCTACAGACGGCAACGCCGCCTGCACACGACTTGACGTCGCCCCGCCATGTGCATATGCGACCTGAGGTTGCTTTTGGGTCAGCAGACGGCCTGCACACTGTTACACATCACGTGCATGGCGGATACGGCGCTGAAGAGAAGAGGAAGAAGAGGGAGAAGAATGCTTTGCAGGTTTGTATTATTAATAGTCTTCCAAGTCAACCAAGAGCAAGTAAAGACAAACTTCAGACCAAAAGCAAATCTGAGATAAGGAAATGGATATGTAGTAAAAAAAAAACTCCGTGCCGCATGCCGGGTATCTTCCTTTGCGTGCAAAGGCCATGTATCTGAACACCATACTGAACGCTCAACCAAAATCAATAGTCTCTAGAGACCCTCGGCGTCCCGGGTGACGGGCGCTCGCTCAAACAAAGGAAAATCGTGGAATCGACTGCCATGGCGGCATGGTGGACGTGTGTAATATTATGCAAAGTGGTGGATGTCGACGACAGACAGCCAGTGGGGTGGTGGTACAACAAGAGTGCCTGTCAGCACATGCGAGTGGGCAGCTTCATGCGCATCCACTCGTCGCCGACAATGGCATGGCCGACGCGCGAGTCGTAGAACTGGCGTTGGCGCTGGGCGCGCTCAGCGTAGCTCAGGCGGTGCTTGTGCAAGCGGCCCTTGGAGTCGCGCATGTACTCGTACTTTTGCTCGCCCTGGACAGCAGTTAGCACGAGGCTTGTGTGGCAGAACCAAGGGCGGGCGAGTACTCACGATAATCTCCCATAGTTGCTGCTCCTCTGGGTTCATGCGGCAGTAGTAGACGGGCCGCGGGAGGGGCTTCTCCCCGCTGAGCCGGCTCGACAGACTGTCGACGCTGGAGCGTATCGACAGAACCATGTTGAGACGCGTAGCAGGCGTGCGTGTGTGGGGTTGGTGGATGGGGTTATTGTATGCGCTGGCGGGCGAGGGGGAAGGCTGTGCAGCTGGAGCGGCCAAGTGCGGGCGTGATGGCAATGGAGAGAAGCAAGTGCATAAAGCGAGGAAATAAATGCGCGGGTGTCAGGTAAGAAGAGAGCACAATGTCCAGGCGCGCGGGTGGGCCGTGGCGGGCGTCTCTGTTTGGTGGGAATGCGGGCGCAGTGTTTTTAATCGCGCACACCGGAGGGCGAAACCGGCACTGCGTGGGAGGCGTGGGCGGCAGGCAGATGTTGGCGTGTTTGTTGGTAATGGCAGCGCTGTCAGCGGGCCGCCCGACGATATATATCCAGCCCGCAGAGGGTCGCGGGCGCCGCCGTGATAGGGGACGGCGACGGCGCTGGGGGTTGCGTGCAGAGCCCGTGGTAATTTGCTGATTGCCCTACGCAGCGGATTGACGGCGTCCAAGACAACGCCGAGCAACCGACTCGTCCGAAACGCAGCGCAAGACGCAGTCGGGGCGCCGTCGATCAGCGTACAAGAGATGCACAATCGTTGTTGAAACATTGCATCGCCCGCCGCGCAGGGCTTGGCCGACCACGCTGCGCAGCCGCTTTGCGCGGCGCCCAGAAACGCGGAGGCTTGTCGCGACAAGAGGGCGGACGGTCGGGGGCTTAAGTAGCCCAGCACGCACTCGTTGCGGCGCGCAGCCTGGAGATCTGCACGCCTCCAAGGCCCTTGGCGGGGGATCGACAGGTCAGCGTGCGGGTTGAGATGAGGCCGTGTACATCCAGTACACCATGCGCAGTCCGAACACCAGTGTGCACGAACAGCCTGGGCGGTGCGCCATCCCGCCCTTTTCATGCCTCCCACTGCCCTCCTCCTCGACTCGTCTTGGCATCCATCGCTGAAACCCTGACAAGCCTAGGCCCCGTGAGGTACATGACTTCACACTTGCTTCTCTCAGGGGCTCAAGAGCTGCTCCCTGCCGTCGCCCTTCATGCAACGCCATCGTCAGTCGCCCGCCGTTGCAAGTCCTCGCTGCCCGCCAGGCCTCGACTGGCCGTCCCATGGTATATGAGCCATCTGCCATCCTCCGGGCCGCCCCATTCGTATTTCTTTTGGTCAACAGTCCCGCCCGCTTCCACACTGCCCACTGGGACGCAACGCTGAGCTACTGCAGCAGATACATTGGTCGCACGACGTTGCAAACTACACACCCACGCCGGTACACGGCCACGGCGACGGAGCTTGAGGCGGACCATCTTACAAAAGTCCGCTCCGTTTCCGTGGGCGCATGTTCCATACTTTGCCTCCTACCCAACCAGAACCAAGCGAATGCATACGCAGCCAACTCCATCCACCGGGGGCTGTGTGCCAATACCAATGACAAACTGTGCTTTCCGGCACCTTCCGTCACGATTCTGCCTCGACCGCACAGCCGCGTCAACGACGTAGACGCTGCCTGCTGGCGTTGCCTGCCACTGTTGTTTTCCCCGTCTTTTCTTCTTCCTGCCACTCCATGTCTTGGAACATTGGCATCTCTGCACAAGACCGCCCGTCCCAGGAAACAAATGGAATCCGTGTCACCAATGCGTTCAATACAGTGGCAATCTCTTTCATCATGGACGATCCCATCCGCAAACTCTAAATTGACCAGGTGCTGACGTTGCAATCAATCACTCAACTTGGCACTCGTCCTGCGCCGCTTCGAGAAAGAGACCATGACCAGGCGTTATTCTTTTTTCTGACGTATGCCTGTGCGATGATGTGAGAATTCCCAAGTGGATTTCCGGTTAAAAGACATCATGGTAGCCGTGGCAAAGCTGGTGCTATACAAAAGGCGCATCGCCCTCTTACACCGCTTCAGTGCTGCCATTTAGAAAGTCAGTTTCAATCTGGGCAATACTTCAGACAACTGTAAAAGTCTGGAGTAGTATTGCTTCAAACTTTATTTTGTCTCCAGTAGATAACAGTTTCTTTCCTGACCTCATCTTGCTCTTGTCGCTGAAGTGTGCACATGTACAACTTGCCAAGCCCTGAAACAAACTTCTCACAGATATTCGTCATCAGGTACTTGCAGTACCTGCTCTGCATTCTTCAGTCCGACGCCCTTCAACTCCTGCATAGTCCCTCGCTCGCCATGGAGAGTGAAACTCATCACCAGCTACTTGATTCGTCCGACTCTCCCCCAGACACAGCAGCAAACTTTGTGTAAATTGGTGCCGTCAGCACTTGGACTCGAACAGAAACGCTCCAGGGTATGGCGTGAGGCCCAGAGGCAACATGAGACAGAGTGTCGTGGCGCGCTAGGGCCATAAGCTGATGTTGGGAAGAGGGCGGCCGACGTCGGAGGGGCGTCTGCGGCTTCTGGCGGGGCTCGTGGGGTAGCTTTGCACTCTTATACTCGAACCCGAGCGGGCGACATTTTCTCCAATTCGAAACATACACATTACTCGTACAAACAATGACTGCCCACAATATTGTTGTTCTCGCCGGTAAGTCGGAGCATGCAAAGTCTGCCAGCACACCGCTAAACTGCGCCCAGGTGACGGTGTCGGCCCCGAGGTGATATCATCCTCCGCGCCTTTCCTCCGCATCCGCTCACGGACATGTCTAGGTTGTTGCCGAAGCATTCAAGATCCTCAAGGTCATCGAGAAGCACACGGACAACACGTTCAACTTTCAAGAGCATCTCTTTGGGGGTGTAAGTGAGAAGCCGTGGCGTAGCGACTCTGTCATAACATCTGCAGTGCTCAATAGACGCGCACAACAACCCTCTTACCGACGAGGCGCTCAATGCCGCAAAGAACGCTGATGCCATTATCCTCGGCGCTGTCGGCGGCCCGGTACGTCATGTCACTGTCAAACGAGCGACGCCGTCTAACAAGCATGTAGAAATGGGGAACAGGCAAGGTGCGCCCCGAGCAGGGCATCCTCAAACTCCGCAAAGAACTCGGTACCTTTGGAAACCTGCGACCGTGCTTCTTCGCCTCAGACTCGCTCGTCGAGTCTTCGCCGCTCAAAGCCGAGAACGTGCGCGGCGTAAACTTCAACATCATCCGCGAACTGACGGGCGGCATTTACTTTGGCGACCGGAAAGAGGACGAGGGCGATGGCAAGGCCATGGACACGGAGCCATACAGTGTTGAAGAGATTGAGCGCGTTGTGCGTCTAGCAGGCAGTCTTGCCTCTGTCGAGGATCCGCCGGTACCCGTGTGGAGTTTGGACAAGGCCAACGTGCTTGCAACATCGAGACTGTGGAGGAAAACATTTGAGCGCATCATGAAGGACGAGTACCCGCATCTCAAGTCGGGCACCCACCTCATCGACTCGGCAGCCATGCTCATGATCAAGAACCCACGAGCGCTCAACGGTGTGGTCGTTACCAGCAATCTGTTTGGTGACATCATCAGCGACGAAGCCAGCGTTATCCCCGGTAGCTTGGGTCTGCTGCCAAGTGCCAGTCTAGGCGGTATTCCCGACGGCAAGACCAAGCTGAATGGTATCTACGAGCCTATTCATGGTAAGAAAGATAATTGCCTCCGTTGTTATATTCTCCCACTCACACCCTACAGGCTCCGCACCAGACATTGCCGGCAAGGGCATCGTCAACCCCATTGCCACCGTTCTCTCCATCAGCATGATGTTCAAGTACTCGCTGTGCCTTCCAGAGATTGCGCAAAAAATCGACGAGGCTACAAAAATCACCATCGACAAGGGCGTGCGAACCGCCGATATCGGCGGAAGCTCAACTACAAGCCAGGTCGGCGATGCCATAGCTGCGGAACTCGAGACGCTGCTAAAGTAGAGTTTGAGTTTTAAAAATAAAATAAAGTAAAATTGCATCTGAGTTTTCCAAGTCGCGCCAGCGCTTGACATTGAATCTGATGTGATTATGTTCATGTTTTGCTTTGCTATCTGGTTTGTTTCTACCAGTAAACGTGCTAACACAACGCCTTTTTTTTCTCTTTCACAATATAATACCCAAATCACCTCTGTTGGGTATATCTAATTTACATTCCTTCCTCCTTCCAAACATGTTCTTCTATTTTTCATCTGCATATTCCTCTTTATACGTACATTCAGCACAGGGGCAAAACATAATATTACCTATAACCATGTACACCTATGACTATACCTGAATAAGACAGTGTGGAATCTTATATATCAACTCCTACTCCTACATACTAACACACCACTATACCTACATATATATCCAAGCGTATCAGCATATCTTACTCACACTAATATATATATATATATATATATATAGCGTGAATAGTAGATAGATTAATAAATAAATACAAGAATAAATCAAGGTGCAAGCTAGAAAATACCTACAGAAACCAAATAGTCCTTTTTTTTTTACAATGCAAAGACTTGACTTGACTTGGACAGTTTATCGGTTCAGACTGGAAATCTACGTCTGGCTGGAATTATGAGAGAAGAATGGGAACAAGAAAGAGAAAGAGAGAAAGAGAGAAAGAGAGAAAGAGAGGGGAGGAGGAGAAAAACATGAGTCGGGGTTGAAATAGCAGACACACTATACTATGTACTATGTACTAGTAAATGCTATGTATGCTGTTTCTAGGAGTATATATATATATATATACCATGTAGACTATGTGCATGTGTAGTAATAATGATAACAATAACAACAATAAGAACAATCAGGTTTTTTTTGTTTCAGCAGAAAAAGGAAAAACAGAACAGAACAGAACAAAATAGAACAGAATAGAATGAACAAAGCTGTTGAATGACATTACTGTACCTCTGTTTCTTGTATCCACACACACACATACACACATACACACATACACACATACACACATACACACATACACACATACACACATACACACATACACACAAGAAACTGTTCATCGTAAAAAAAGGGGGGGGGCAGATAACACATGCCTCGTCATGCTCATCCCCCACGATTCCTCTCACGTCGGTGCCCTCAACCCCGTCAACCCGGGCATTCCCTGCTCAAGCTCCACCCGCACCGCCTGCTCCGTCTTCTCCTCGACCATGACACCGCCGCCATCGCTACTGGAGCGCGCACTAGCAGACCTACTGCGCGAGCGGTGTTCACCGGGCGGACTCAAGCTGCGGAGGCGCTCGATGGGCACGCGTTTCTGCAGGCGACTTGCGGCCGTGGGATCGAGTTCTGCAATGGCGACGGGAGTGGCGATGCTGAGGAGCTCGCCGATGGCGCCGAGGTCTTTGTCGAGGGGGTAGAGGGATGTGGAGTCTGTTGAGTTGTGCTGTTGCTGTGTATGCGCTAGATTCTGATTCTGATTCTGATTCTGTTGCTGAAGGAGATGAATTTTCGGCATGGGCATAACAGCCAACTCAGCGAGCCAGCGCTTCGCCAGCCAGCGTTTCGTCCTAGACCAAGACCCGAATTCCTCGGCGGCAGGATCATAGTCTTTTCCTAGTTTGACTTTGTCTTTGCCGAACCAGCGTGTGACAAGGCGCCATTTTACGTTTGCCCACCACCCGACGGGCACCACGTCGTCGCGGGGCCCGCCGCGCGTCCACAGCGTGGCGTGGTCGGTTGATAGCTCGTGGTACAGCGATTCGTAGACGCCGCGACGCATGGGGTTTTGGCGCTGGCTCGCCAGGTTGTGCTTGACGGCGTACCAGAGGATGAGGACGACGAGGAGAACAGGGACCGAGGTGATGAACCACCATTTTATGTCGGGCATGCTGTCAAAGGTGGACACGTTCATGCCGAAGAAGCCGACGGTAAATGTGAGGGGGAGGAAGCTGTAAGTCGTGGTTCAGCACTATCAAGTTTGGCCATGGTGGTCACACGTACATGAAGGTGATCCAGCTCAAGCGCCACATGCTGAGTCCCAGTTGCAGCGAGTGCCGCGCATCTCTGATGCCCACGCTCTTGTACATGAGATCTGACAGAGACGAAGTGGGCAGCATAACGTCTCGCTCCCACTGTCCCGTCAGCTTTTCGATTTCGTCTGGCGCGGAGCCGAGCCAGGGCTGGCCCGAGGATTCCTTGGGGTTGGTGCCAGCAAGATCATGCAGATGGCTCACCATTTCCTTGACCACGTCGAGATGGATATAGATGAGGCGCTCGACTTTGAGCCATTGCGCGCTGTTTTTCCAGAGTTCAGGGGCGCGCGACTCGTCGGCGGGGTTTTCGTAGACTGGGACGGTTAGTACAGCGGGTTCCTACAAGGTTCCAACAAAAGACTTACTCTTGTCTTCCAAGATTCCGACGTGTGTTTCACACGCAGACATGAACCTCTGCCAATTATACGCCAACGCCTTGAAGACGTCTTGGAGGATAAAATCCATGCACTCTGCCGTCAACGTCTGGTCATTATCCGTGGGCAGGTAAAACGACAAACGTCTCCATCTCGACTCTAGCTCCTGTCTCGCGCCGATCAGAGTATCTTTAACAGAGCCCGTAACCGAGTTCTCAAACAGGATAATCGTATTACCGTTATCGAGAGACCTCAGCTTGGGAATGTACTTTTCTTGATGCTCGTTAGCGTCAACATTTCCATAGCTCTTCTTCAGTCGCATGTACTCCTCCCATGCCTCGTCGTCATATGGATTGGGAATATCAGGATCGACCGCCTGTCCTGGCATGCCGTCGCTCAACTGCACATAGACACTGAGCCGTTGCACATACACGTCAAAACCATACCGCGGCTGATCCTCCTGATCATAGTGATTAAGCTCCATAATAGACTTGTTATTGTTAAAAGGGAGGCGCGTATTTCGGTCGTACGGCTTGAGATAATCCACACCAAAGGCTGCACGTGATATTCCTCGCCAAGGATCACGTGAAGCACGGAAAGTCCTGCCATTGAGCACAGGCTTACCGCCGCGTTGTTGGGATCTTTCGTAGCGTGCCCAGTGCCCAAAATTTGTGCCGACGAGTTCGTCGTTGGCATCAATGTTGAACTTGCGGAGCAGGAAGCGCGTCGCCCAACTCGCGTTCTGGACGTGGATTACGCGTAGGGCTGCCTGCGCGGCGAGATCCTCCTTGCGGTAGAACCGACGAAGGCTGTCGATGTCGCAGAATTCCTGGGCTACAATCTTCCTCCTTCCGGCCGAGTGTTCTTTGGCGACATAGTCTATGAGCAACACGCGACCCTGCTGCCAGCTGTCCTTGGTCCACGGCTGGCGCCATTCGAGGTTTGGACTGTGCTTGCGGCGATGGCCAAAGGTGGCTTTCCGCGCTTCGAAAGCCTGTGACCGAGAACTTTCCGGGCTGCTGGATTCGTATGCAGACGTGGGAAACGTTGGTGAGGCTGCTCTAAACGTTAGCAATCGTTCCGAGCAGTGATTCGCGGCTTTCTCCAACGTAGCGACTAGGCCGAGACCATGGAGTAGGGATCAGGGTCCAACAACAATTGTAGTCATTCTCCATGAACAGCTGCCAACCCTCGTCTTCCTTCTCTTCTCTTCTCAGGACGACTTACTCTCCATATCGTCGAGTTCACGTCTCGGTCGCCCTGCGGGAGCTGCCGCTGTATCCTCTATAGTAATCGGCGGAGGCTGGGGCGGGGAAGGTGGTCCCGCATCGGAAGATGTCAGATTAGACATGATGCACCAGAAGATTCCTTCAGTCACTGGGGTTGCGGCGCCTTGGCCTGCTTAGGCCTCGTTCAAGGATCGGTAGAGGAAGGTGGAGTGTGCGACAATGACCCAGCGCAGCGGAAGACCAGCATCAAACGTGGTGGGAAAAGACGACACATGGGATGGCAAAGCGCAAAAGCCATGTCAAGATGGATGATAATAATAATATGTCTCTATTGCGCGCGCCTGACCGCAGTGTTGTCTGCCTGTAGTGGCTGATACCATAAGGCTGACCACCTGCAGCCTCCACAGGTGCGGTTCGCGTCGCGTGCAAGCCCTCACCGCCCCACACTAGGCGTCCAAGTCACGCCGCCCCTGGGACAATCAGCGACATCATGTGCCGCTTGACAAGCAGCTTGCACAAGAGCATGTGGGCAGCATTCAGCGCTATTTACCGTCTTGAAATTTAAAAGCAGTGGTATATCCCTGATCTGTACATCGGTAGAAAATGCCTTGCTACACATTGCCATTTCCGTCTAGAATGCCAAACGCTCCAGAATTATCCTAATATCCTCCTCGCCCAAGGTTATTATGTCTAACAAGCAGAAAGTGCCGAGTCCGTGGCCATTGCAAAGGACCGATTATATGCAAAACAACAGGTGGGTAATATGGAGTCGTGATATCGTGTCGGGTTGATGCAGCGCTCGTGGGGCGCGAAATGGGTATTAGCAACGAGATGGAAAAAAAAAAGAAGAAAAGATCCAAAACCAGAAATACAGCCCGCTCAGACGCGGAGAAGAAAGAAAGCGGGGTCCCAGGGTATCTCATCATTCACACTGGCGACTGCGCCTGGTAATCTCTTCGTCGCTAAGCGCAGCCAGCCAGAGGCATTTGCTGAGAATGTGCGGTTCGACCTTGAAGGTGTACTTGGAGCTGGCCTCGAGAAGGCGAAGGAGGTTTTTGACAATCGTGGCCGCCATGTGATAGCGGTCAAAGTTGACGAGGCGCTCGCCATCAACTGGGGGTGCGTCAATGAATGGCGGCTTCTGCGCATTGTAAATGAGATCGCGGGTGTAGACACCTGATGATGGTTAGCTGCGTTCAATCGACGGTGTGCAAGTACCTACCAATGAATGGAATACAACCGTCCTCGACGGTGGCTGTTTCCATCTCGAGCCGGAGGTTGTGGAAGTTCTTCATGGGCTGAACTAGCGCCTCCAATTCGGTCATGACCAGCACCTCAGCTGCGGGCACTAAAGCCCATGTTTTCTTGAGGCTCGAAATGTCGTTGGATATCAACGCAATTGCGATTTGATACATGGTGGCGTAGTTGCGGTATCGTCGCGCATGGGTTGCAATGTGAATGAATTTCGTAATGCATTGGGCGCGTTCACGAATATCCTCGATGAGAAGACACTCGGACACGACCCACTTGACAACGAGGTTGAAGCGTGCAATGACGACGTCAACCCCTCTGGCTTCTTCCGTTCGTAGATACTGGACCCAGTCGCGGATCTGCGGCGAGGATTGCTTCCAGCGGAGGTCGATGAGCTCTTTCCAGTCAATCTCATCCAGTGCATCCTTTTCAACAATGGTGAACTGCTGAGCGAGCATCTCCGAGTCATATGCAAAGATAAAAGGCAGATGTGCGGTTGGTGGTGAAGTGGCAGGCTGGTGCATGTTTTGTGGCCCATCCGAGGAACCGACTGGACGCTCAGGGTTTGGGCTTCCTTGTTGATTCGAGCGTGAGACGGTGGGTGTAAGACCTGGCGTCGGGAGGCCTTCATCAAAGACGGTCGAGTTGTGCAAGTCGTCGTTTACTTGAGGCGCTGTAGGAGGTGGAGTGGGTGGGTGGCGCATGGGATGGGCTGGCAAATTGTCCGCGTCACCCTCAAGAGTTGCTGGCTCATCCCCGAAGAAACTCTTCACACCATGGCTGTCATCGCCCGAGTTGGCTGCGGATGCAAATCCCACATCACTAAAGTCCTCATCCTCGTCCAGCAGAAACGACTCGCGGACATAGGTATGCGCTGGGAGCGTTTCACCAGTGGGAATCCTCCTCATACTATCCGTCTCCGTAACATGTACCATGGACGAATGCATTGGAGAAAGCCTATCAGGTTGTCGGGCAGATTGAAACGAAAAACTGCCAATTTTCAGGGGCGAAGGCTTAGCCGAAGATGTCATACTCTCCAGCATCTGCGCTTGCTCTGGAGTCGGCATCTCACCAAAGCCCCGGTCGAGAAGGGGTATGGAAGAGTACGAGTCGGTCGATTGGCCTACCGACGTGACCGGAGGCACATGGCTGTTGAAGTTCTCAGCCGACAGTCTGTACATGCCTTGGCCGTCTGTTTCGGGAGGAGCCAAGGGGCGGTGGAAGACATCATCGGTAGCAGGGCGGTTGTGTTGCTCGTAAGCAACGCCAAAAGAATTTTGCTCGAACGCTGCCAGATGTTGCCCCAAGTCAACCGTGTTTCTTTGCGTGGGTGCACTGGGTGATTTCTTCTCGTACCGCCCTTCCAACTTCATCAGTGCTGACTCGACCCCGCCTTCGTCGTCCGTGTCGTCTGGCAAGGCAGCAAGCTTTGCCACTTCAGCCTCGAAAGACGGTCTTAGGTTGGGTTGGGACGAGTGTGTATCCACCAATGAGATTGGCTTCCTCGGAGTTTCCGCTTCGGGTGGCCCTTCAACTTGACGGAGAAAATCTGGTTGCGAGTCGAGAAAACGATCGGACCGCAGAATCACCGAATTGGTGATGGAATGTGTGTGGTTCGACATTGAGCCGGTAGAGTGCGGTCGCTGCATGTGTTCGAGATCGTGGACATTGTCTGCAGCGCGGAGGTCGCCACCTGGCCGTCGGCGGAGCTGTCGTGCGGGACCAGCAGCTTCAGCCGCCGGCTGACGATCAAGAAAGAAGGGATCATTGTCAGATGACATGGTCTGAAAGGTAGCAATACTCGCCGGCCCTCTTCTTCTGCTGAGCACACTGCCGTAAGAAGCATGGCGACGAAGAGAGCCCCCGCGTGCTATGGAATTCTTGGTGGAGCCCTTGCGTCGGAAAGAATGCATCCCTTCTGGGCCTGCCGACATGGACCGCCTCTCTCCTGGGTAGGATTGCCTGGTGAGAGTGCGGGAGAGGCGATACTCGTCTGCAGCAGAATGGGGCTCTGGATCGTTGTAGAGAAACGAGTGTTGGATCGAGTTGGCATCGTCCGCTAAACGCACGTGGCTAGACGCTCCTTGTTGGTCGTCTTCCAGTTTTATCGCCGGTTGGTTAACTTCACCCGGAGCGGCGTCTGCCTTGGGCAAAGGAGGGGCTCCCGTGTCGTCAATGATGACTATCGACTTGCTCCCGTTGGTGATGTTGCTGTGCACACGGGGATCCGGCTTACGACGAGGTTGCTGCGTGCTCTTGGCTGGGTTACCACGCTCGTCAAATTCGAATTGGAAACCGCCGAGACTAGGGCTCTCGCCGCCGGGTTGCTCATGGCCCTCGCTTTCAAGCTGCTCGCGTACTGCTGCTTGAAAACTATCTGCGACTGTGGCGGCTAGAAGATCAACTCGTATCTGGGGCCTCGGTCGAGCAACACGGCGCTTCTGAACTCCTCCCGAGACCGACAAGGTCGAAGACGTGCCTGGATTTGAGCATCGCACGTAGGGTGATTGTCGTTGGTGTGGGGACCCGCTCAAAGGACAGCCACTCGGTTGCTGCCGAGTGCTTAGAGCACGACGTACACTGCCAAATATCTTCTTCATGCCTGGTGAATTGGCCTGTCCCGGTCGCTGCTGAAGTTCATTATCTGCATCTTCAGAATCCTTGAGGTACTGAGATCGCGTGGGTCGTAGCGGTTTGGTTTCAAAGTACGGGGTGGTTGGGTGAATAAGCCCACCACGCACAAGCGTGCCAGGCATATTCGCCACAGCAGAGATGGCATAGTCGGTCGACGGGTTCTTGGGGATCGACAGTGGCGCTCTGCTGTCTCGGAGGGCATCCGAGAAACTGCCACTGCGCTTGTGGGCACGAGCTGGGCGCTGGCTGTTCTTCAACGACGCTGGCTGCTGTGGACTCGATGTTATCCGGGCCGTGCCACTACCGGCTGAATTGGCGGCCGGTACGGGGTGTGGATACAGAGGTAGTTCCACCGACGCTTCATGCTTATGCGACGCCCTCACCGGAAGAGAGCAGGACAAGACATGGATGCTCTGCTCGCTTGCGGGCGACACGGGCGGCTGCGTAGTCTCGTATTCCTGTGATGCTATCAAGGGGGAGCCCATTGAATTCTGAGGTGTATGGCGAACTCTTTGCGCCCAGTCCATGTGTCGGCTGGCAAAGTGGTCGCTCGGGTTGGATCCAATTGTCTCCTTGGTGTCTCGTATGTGCACTCGGGGAGGTGTGCTGGGCAGTGGCTGGACCGGAGAGGGCTCATCAAACGACATGTGTGAGCCCTCTTGGCCGCCTGGAAGCAATGGATCGTCTGAAAAGTTGTGGCCAAAGCCGTCGTCCGTGTCCCAGTACAATGCGCAAGTTCGTCTCCAGCACTTCTTCAGCTCGCCCACAATCTTGATGTCGCCGCCGCCGCCATCATAGCGGGCTCGTAGACTATTGTAGAGGCTATTGACCATGTCGCAGAAATTGACTCGTAAGTGGTAAAAGGGCATGAAATCGTCGACAAAGTAATTGAGGATCCAGTGGCGGAGGGCGACAAATGTGCGCACGCGAACAATGCGGCCAAAGTCATCTTGCCGGTCAACGGCCCACCGCAGTCGGGAAATGAGATATGCAACCAGGTCGCGTGTGCACAAGAAGGCGCGAAAGGTGAGGAAGAAGTCAGAGAGCAATTCGTAATCGAGGAAACTGGGCGAGGTGATGTGGGCGACGAGGCGTGAGGGCGTGGCAGCGAGGATGTCGCCATTGGAGTTGAAGCGCACGACGGCGCGGTCGTCGGGGTTGATGGTGAGTGCATCATACAGCCTCGGGCTGATTGGCGAGTGGGAGACACGGGCAGACGAAGGGCCGGAAAGCGCAATGGGGGGGCGGTCCATGGTGGGGCGGAAGCGGTGGGGGACGGGCGAATAGGCATCTGAACGCGTGCGCGACGACATGAAGGACTGGCGGGCGCTCATTTGCGGGGCCATGAGGGAATTGGCAAAGTCGTCGACGCCGGCCGAGGTGCCCGTGTAGACTGAACTGCGCAGATCTACCGTCCCGCGCGTACTGAAACGCGGAGTGCCCAGGCGGTAGTGCGGGATGGGGACTTGCAACAGCGGGAACGACGTGTCAGCTGTCTTGGGGCGGCCGTGTGCGGGGCGCTCAATGATGACCCTGAAGGTGCCGGGCTCGTGGGCAATTGCGGCGGCGGCGGCGTGGTCGTCGGCCGTGGAGAAGGAGTGGGAGCGCACGTGGGCGAGGGGGCGGCTGGTGGATTCGTGGTGACGGTGGTGATGGGGGTGGGGATAATGGGTCGAGACATGGCCCTCGCTCACGTCGGCCAAGGGTGGCGAGGGTTCCGAGTAAGGGGTTCGTGGGCCGTAGAGGCTGTTTTCGAATTCATCGCTCAGCGGGCGCAGCGTGTCGCGCGTGGCGCTGTCGGGGGGCGTCTGGGGCGGGAAGACAAAGGTATCGGGGGGAGGGCGGCCGCGGTAGTTGCCCGGGCGGACGACGGGCCTGTGTTGCGAGCGTCAGTCAGCCTCTGTTGTCATGTGTGTGTGTATGTATGTATGTATAGATTGGTCAAGGGGCAGCTGCTTGCTTGGCCACTGGGGTTGCGGGCATGGCGATGCATGCACGCATATGGCCTATCCGCCGCAATCGATAGCGACAGGCGCCCGCGACAGCGCCCGCGGACAGCCAGGCCACGGCAGCAGCAGAAGACGCGGCGCGCTGGCAGTAGGGGCGTACCTCAGGTATATGACGCCGTTGTGGACGTTGGCGACGGTGTAGGAGCGGCCGCCGGCGGTCGAGTTGCTCGTGGTGGTGTCGATGGTGGCATTGCTGGCGCCGCGCGCGCGGGACCGGCTCTTGAGCTGCTCTCTCGAGTCCTTGACCCGGCGCAGGCGGCGCGCATCGTCGGGGCGGCGTTTGGGCGTGTCGGAGGGTGCGGGCGCAGGCGCAGGCGCGGGCGTGGGCGTGGACACTTGGTCGCGCTTGGGATGGGCTGGCAGGTCATTCTGAGGCAGAGCCGGCAGGGCCATTGTCCTCCATAGTCCACGGCAGGGCGAGGGTCAGAACGGGGCGGGAGGTCAGGTGGGTGGGAGGAGCATGGCCATCCACGGCCTGCGCACAGTGCATACAGCGAGGGCGAGAGGAGGAGGAGGCGGCGGCGGCGGCGAGGAGGCGGCGAGGAGGCGCGGCGGCGAGGATGCACGGCGAGGAGGGCGAGGCGAGGCGAGGCGAGGCAGGACGAGATCAGATGCAGATTAGACCAGACCCGACCAGACCAGACGGGCCACGACACGACACGACAAGACAAGACACGACAAGACGAGACGAGACGACGGCGGGCGATGTGCAGCAGGGCAGGACGGGGCGGGACAGGGCAGGCAATTCACCACGCCGTCCGTCCGTCCGTCCGTCAGTCAGCAGGGCGGCGGCGGCGGCGCTGCATGGGCCCGGCTGATGGATGGCGGATGGATGGCTGATGGCTGAAGAGGGTGCCGTTCATCGGATCACTCCGCTGCCCCCGCCGCCCTATACGACGCCGTCGAGCTTGTCCATGTCCATGTCCAGGTGCTAGCAGCAGTAATATAATGCCACGCTTGCCCAAAGCATGCGCCGCTGCAGCACGCCCCCCGCCCGCCCGCGTTGCTTCTGCGCTATCCAGTGTGTGAGCCTGTGTACATTGTGTGTGAGAGATGGCATATATCGATGTGTGTCTATGTACATGGATGTGCATACACGGCGCGAACCAGACGAGCCCCCCCGCCCCGGCCTAGCAGCGAGTGGCTACTTGGCCTGCGTCGGCCGGGGGGGCCCCCCATGGCGACATCAACAACCACAACACCACAACCACAACACCCACAACGGCACGCAACAACGGCGCGACAGCAACCCAGCAAAAAGCAACGCCGGCTGCCCGCTGCCGCTGCCGTCGCCGCCGTGCTTGGACTTGGACTAGCGGCCACGGCAAATGGCACAGGACGAGTGGGAGCAGCCCCCCCAACAGGCCGCAAGCCTGTTATCGCAATCCCTTTGCATGCTGCACGCACGCACATAGTTCCACACCGCACAACTCGACGCCGGCTCCCTCCCATCTCCCTCGCCAGACGCTTCATTTCCGCCGGCCCCGTGTGGGTGCGCTGCCGCGACGTCATGGCCGGCCGCTGCCCCGCCACGACGACGACGTGCAGGGCGGCCCTCGAGGTGAAAACACGTCTCGCAATCTCAATCGCGTGCCCGCCCAACCCCATGCAGCCTGACTCGACGACCCACACGCTCTGCACATGCACACGACAGCCTGCACGACATCAACCATGGTACACGCCGCCTGTCACGCTCCGCACCGGCCAGCCTGCCTGCACCGAGACACTTGCACATACACGCTACATATACACCTACTTGCGACTCCACACATCACACATTCATGCTACAGCTGCTGCCCGCCAGCCGTGTGCGTGGCCAGTAGACGGCATTGCAACATGACAAAGACAGCACGTCCTCTGGACAAACCACTGCCCACTATAGACCCAGTCGCGCCGGGTAGCAGCAGTCGAGCTGCCACCTTGGGCATAACCTGCAGAACTGTAAGTTCGCACAGGAGACGCATCCGGCCCGAATGGCTGCCCAAGCCCCCCTCCCCTCCGCCAATTCCACCTGATACGCCGAAACATCAATGTCTTGGCCCACCGTCTATGCTCCCCGTCCACTCATTCATTCATCCATTCACTCCACTCTCTGGCCCTCCTGCACTTTGCTACACAACTCGCGACACGCCTTTTTTTTTCTCTCATGTTATTAGCTATAGTACCCCGTGCTGCATGCATACATAGACTCCCTTGCCCTTACTCCACTCCACCCCACCCCTCCCCCTCCCCTACCCTACCCTACCCCAAACACCCTCGTCCTTCCTAAAAGGGATATCCCCTCGCTGCCTCGTCCTCGCCGCCCTCGACCACCAAGCCCTGCGCCACTTGCTCCGCATGCTTCCTATCCAAATACTCGAGCAGCACCTCGCCATAGCGCTCCTTGCCCTTGTACCGGCTTACATCATCGCCCCACGACCGGATCGCACTAGCCAGCCGCCCAGGCACATAGGGCTCTTCGGCAATCTTGGTAATCGGCTCAAAGTAGGTCCGTATAGTAAACACAACGCCACCGGATTTGGGCAGTCTGTTTCGCACAAAAGCATTGATGTGTCAGCAGAAAAGGGGCTTCTGGATCCATGGTGTACATCCAATCTTGCGTCTAGTCAAAGCATAGTAGTAGTAGTAGTAGTCGTTGTCGTAATCACACAAAAGGACCAGACTAAAAGAAAATAGCCGCAATCATACACACAAGGACCAGACTAGTAAAAAAAAAAAAGTAGGGAAAAAAAAATTGAAAAGGAAATTATACCATGCATGAACAATTAAAATGAAATAAGCATCTTAGGCACGTACCTCCGCAAGCTCTGTCTCTCACTCCGAAAATAATGATGCTCAATCGCCTTGTTCTTCTCCGCCGTGAACCAGCCCACGGCCCCCTCTTCACTCGCATCTTCGCTTCTGATGCTGTCGCTCCACGCCAGCTTGTCGTCGACCTGGATAAAGTAGTTGTTGCGCAGCATGGGCGCGTCGGGCTGGATCCGGCGGAAGAAACTCATCATGCCTTTTTCCAGCTTATCCTTGTATCTGGCGAGATTTGCGGGTGCAGAAATTAGCCCAAGAAGAAGACATTTGCATGCATTACCAGCTGTGGAGCTAGGGGGGAGAAAAAAAACAGAAAATAGAAAAATAAGAAATGGGAAATGGGAAATAGGGACAATAGGAAATAGGCACAATAGGACCGGAATGAAATGACATGAAATGACATGGAAACGAAATAAAGGATAGTAGTAAGTAGGGGAAACAGGACAGACATACTTACCCAGGTACATCTCCACTCTGATGAATCTGACTGAGCCCCATACCGAATTTATCCTCGAGGCGCCAGAAGCCGGCGAGCAGCACGGCGCCACAAACGAGGTAATACTGGCCATCAGGGCGCTCCATCATGATGGCCACGTCGTCCTGCAGCACGCGGGCGACAAGCGCAATGGCTTCTTCAGCGCGTCCGTTGCGCTGCAGCAACGCCGCATCGAAGACCTCGCCCGTAGCCAAGTTCCGCATGGTGCTGTGGCCCTCGGCGCGGAACAGACTGGGATAGCGCTGTGGCAAGTACGACACGAGGTCCTGCAAGAGCTCTGCAGACGCGGAGACAGCTTCCGGTGCGGTGCGCACGCAGCGAGGCCCTCGCGATGCAAGGCGTGAGGCTTTCAGGGCGTGGTACGCTAGATACTGGTTGTCGAGCTCGATCCACTCGTCCCAGTGCATGCGCCGCAGACCCATGGTGATGTTGTATTTTGGGCCGTGCCGGAAGGGGCGGTAGGGGAGCGGGGGCGTCGAGGTGATGCACCAGTTGGGGTACGGAGAGGCGGGTGGGCGTGTGAAGGGGACGGGATGCCATACTGAAGGGTGGTGTTAGTTTGGTATTGGGGGGGATTGGTAGGATAGAACAGGGTAAGGATGTGAAGAATCTGTGTATGTGTATGTTGTGGTAACGCCAAAAGCAAAGAGAGCGGTACTCACCGCCAAGAGGCCGCTCTGGCGCTCGGAATGGCGATGTTTTTTCTAGATTCGGGGTGCTGGGTGTGGTCAACGAGTTGCGTCTTGTCCTGTCTCGACGCACGTGACGGATCCATGTGAGAAGGAGCCAGAGACATGTGGCGAGGGCGAGACCCGCATAGAGGGCTGCCTTGGGAGATACATGTGCATCCTCGAGTGCCGTGGTCAGCGCAGCGTGTGCTTTGGAGCACTGGTGTTGAGCTGTCCGAGTAACGAGCCCAGCGTGCTGCTCCAGCCGAGCAGCCAAGCCAGCCATGACGTGAGTGGGAAAAAATGGCAATACAGTAACACAGACAAAGAAATGAGATTGTGTGTATGTATCAGCTATGCGTGGTAATAATTGAAAGACGGCGACCCGGCTCTAAATAAACCAAAAAACCAAAAAACGCTGGGACAAGACAATGGGTGTACAAGGCCAAGAGTCATGCACGACATGTCGTAGAGCTTCCTTTTATGTGGCGAGTTCCCTCCTCGATTCCATGAGATACCCGGGTGAGCTGAGATAACACATATGACAGTGTGGGGTTTTGGCTGGGCCGTGTCGTCAGTAGCCATCAAGTCACAAGGCGGGCGGGGAAATGGATACCCTACTCGGTTAGTCAGGTGGGCAAGCCCTGCGCGGCGATAGCGACGTAAGAAACCCTGATGGACTAACGATAGTGCCCCGGCAGGCCATTGTGATTGTCTGAATCCACTGAATCGCAGTGATTTTTGTGCACGTGGCCGAATTGTTGAGTCTGCGTCGCGTTACCGTCTTCGGACCCCAAGCAAGCTGCCTCGGAGCATGCCTCGGAGCATTACGGGCCTTCACTGCTTCTACCGCTTGGCTTGCCCTCCATCCCTTGACATCTTGCGCCGCAGTAGGCAGTACTCGCCCCATTTCCGCTGGAACTTGGCTGGAATAAAGGGCAAGTTGGGGACCCAGAGCATGCGACTGAGAAAGTTTGTCTGGCTGGCATCGAGGAATGGAAGGCATTGCAGAGTCTCCCAGTGTGCTGTGTCCGAGATATAATCCGGCTCGAGTTCGGTCGGTGACATTCCAGGCAAACGCGAGTCCACAAGAAAGTCGCAAAATTTGACATCAACCTATGCTGTGGTTAGTGGGCTGATGGACTGGAGCTCAAGAGCTACTTGCGTATTTCCCCGGGTCCTCCCGGTTCTCATCGTTCATTCCCATTGGCATCATCCAGGTCCCTGGGAACAGGTCTGAGCCCGTGTCGCCCTCGCTGAACTCGCCAGGTAAAAGGCCGGAAAACTCGCTTTTGATGAACTTGGCACGAACGCCTTCGGGCAGATTGAACGACGACGGAAAGCGATACCACTCCTTGCCCAAACAAACCATGTCTTCTGGCGTGCCTTGGATGCGGACAAACTTTTGATCAAACAGCGGCTTGTACACACTCAGTGGTGCCGAGTATGCTGTGATGTGGCCTGAGAATCAGTCAGCAAAATGTCATCAACGTATGCGTCACAACATGGCTATGGAGAGTGCAGATAGTCACGACATACCAATTGTACGGAGCATGCCCAAGTTCAGAGACAAAAGCAGTGGAATGCAAACTACAGTGAGCTTCACCATGGGAGGGATGCGGCTGACGAGGTGGCGTGGATCCGTGGAGCCAAAGTTGGCCAGGCATATGTGCAGTGACAGGGCGGCATTCCACGCCAACGCCGGATAGGCTGGGTACATGAAGCGTTCTTCTTTGTGAGGCTGGACAGTGAATATGGCCAGCCACAGATAGAACGGGCTGACAAAGACCACAGATCGCCTGAGGGCGTGTTGAGACACCGCTTTGTCAAACACCAGATATTGGATAAGAAGCAGCGGTAAAGCAGCCAAGGCAAGAAAGAACCAGATGTTAAAGTTCAAGGCCAAGTTACGCACGTAAAAATGCCATGGTTCCACTCCGTAGATGTCAGGGCCTCTACTCCCGCCGCTGAAGACATTGTAGAGGACAATGTTCAGCGGCACGCACACGAGCTCCCTGTAGAACAGAGAATCAATGACTGTCTGCAGGCCGAGAATGGCGAGGGCACTTGTCGCACCCTGGAGTATCAAGCGTCGCAAGCTTTGCAGGATCGTGCCTGTAACCAGACCGACGATGGCGTCTTCCAAGATAAAAGGCAGGGCGAGCGCACCGGCAAAGGGCCAGCCAAGAGCACTCCCAATGGCAAACCAGGAAATGCCCTGGGCAGTCCGGATTGAGCCACCGTACCAGTCCATGAAAGAGGCAAAGCCGAGCATTGCAAAGTACATGGCGAAACTAGACGGCAGATAGGCAGGGGCAGCGTGGTACATGCCCGGGCTAATGACCATGATCATCATGAAGAAGATGGCAATGCGCTCTTGGAACGTTTTACGAATGGCCGAGTACATGCGGGCCTGGCAGGCGGCGCAAAAGACGGCCAGCACCACTCGCAGGAAATAGAACTCGGCAACCTTGGAGGCTCCCAGGCCGAGCAGGTGCAGGGGCCGCATGCCAGCCCAGATGATCAGCGAGTGAATGGCGGTATAGGACCAGCTCCGGATGGCGTATTCAGGGGAGTACTCCCATGTCTGCAGGCCGGAGCCGTGATTGAGGTAGTGGGTGGGCTCCCAGTAGTTGAAGACCTCGTCACAGTCCTGGATGGGCGAGAAGACGGCGGCCACCAGGTTGGCCACGGCGAAGACGGCGAAGGCGCCAAGGGCAGTGAGTGAAGGCGGCCTTGGGGGCACATGGCTGGATGCATGTCAGCGTGGTGTGGTGCGACTGGCGCCAGCCCCTGAACTCACCTGGCCGGCTTGGGGCGTGTAGCAGACATGGGCGGGGACGGCAGCAGCAGCAGCAGCAGCAACAACAACGGCTCGGCGACGGCGAGTCGACTTGTGCACACTTGGTCGACGACAGTGTCGGGCAATGGCTCGCCAATGGGCCAGCGGTGCAGGGCGGTGCAGGGCGGTGCGTGAACGAGATCGCCCGTTCCGCTTTCACCCGCGCCATAGGGCTGAGCTCGCGCCTGTCCGCCAAGCGGCCTAGCGCGCGTCGAAAAAGGCGACGTTCTCCCTGGGCCAGCTCTCCTGTCCCAGAACATCACCGTGCAGACAACGCAGTTGACAACGCAGTTGATCTACCGCAGCCATCACGCGCGCTTCAGAGAAGACTGCCGCGAGAGAGAGAGCCACGCGAACATGTCCGACTCTCTGGAACCGCCGGCCAAAAGGGCGCGGTTGGAGGCGGACGCTCCCACACAGCAGTATGGCGCATCCTCCACCTCTGCATCTGCGCTGGACGCGCCTGGCTCGCCTGTCGATGACATGGACGACGACTTCTACGACAACACGCCAGTCAAACCCTCTGCGCTGCCTGCTGCTGTGGACGGGACGACGTCGTCGACGTTTGCCGCGGCTGCACCCGCGCCCGCCTTTCACCTTCCAGGACTCGGCTGGTCGAGCGAGGCCGCGGCCCCACAGCCTCACCCGCAGGGCAGCGCGGCAGCCCCAGATGAAGCACCTGAAGACGGCGAGTTCTCAGACGGCGAGGCCTTCTACGATGATGCAAACGCGAACGCGCAGGCCGGTATCTCAGGCGAGCCGCCTGCAGCCAATCAAGCGCAGGCGCAGCATGATGCTCCACCGCACGGCAGGCCTTCATCGCCCTCGCCCGCTGACCTGCCCGCCGCACACTTGACGTCTACCCAAGATGCTGCCGCTGCCGCAGACTCCCCGGCCGCCGACACCGACGGCGAGCTCGACGCGGCACTGACGGCGGCCATTGACCAGCAAAACGAGATTGAAGACGCAGCAGCAGCAGGCGCCGCCTTTGATAGCAAGGCCGAGTTTGTGCGCATGGCCGAGGCCAACAGGGGCGACAAGAATGCCGAGTGGCAGCTGGACTCGGACGCCTCCGATTCAGACTCGGACTCGTCCTCCGACTCGAGTTCTGACGACAGTTCCGACGAGGGCGAGCTGCTGGACCCCGAGGAGCAGGCCCGCCTGCTCATGGCCGAGGCCGCAGACGATGCAGGTGCCTCGGGCCCCGTCAAGGTCAAGACGCTGAATGAAGTGGAGGAAAAGTACGAGAAGCCCGACATCACCGTCACCGAGGACACCAAGATTACAGAACTCGGCAAAGTCGAATCCATTGTCGGCAACCTGGTGGTTGTCAAGGCCAAGATGTCTGGAGACGAGCAGGTGCTCGAGTCTGGCTCGGTCCTCTGTCTGCAGGACCGCACGGTTGTTGGCAAGGTGTCGGAGCAGATTGGCCGCGTTGAGGAGCCTCGCTACTCATTTGGCTTTAATGACGCTGCTGAACTTGCTACTCTAGGCATTGAGAAGGACACGCTGATCTACTATGTCGACGAGCACTCGACCTTTACCGAGACGGAGCCCATTCGCCGACAAAAACACACTGATGCATCGAACCTGCACGACGAAGAAACCAACGAAGTCGAGTTCTCAGACGACGAGAAGGAGGCTGAATACAAGCGCGAGCAGAAAGCCAAGAAGCGAGCCAGGTCCGATACCAACGACGAACAGGCCCCTGTGAATATACCTACTGGCCCCAGGCTACACGTGGATGCTCACCCGCCTCCCATTTACCGGCCAATGGAGTACCAAGGCGGCGGTCTTAAATACAGTGACGATGAAGACGAGGACCTGGGCATGTACAAACCGCTTGCTCGGCCTGACCACTTTGAGCAGATTGTTGGCCAGGGTGCACCGCTTGAAGACCGCAGCCATGTGCGAAGAGGCATGGGCCGCAACAGAGGAGGTCCATGGGGCGATCGAGGCCGTGGGTTCCGTGGCCGAGGAGGTGCTGCTGGACGCGGCGACTTTGGTGGTGGTGGTAGTGGTGGTGGTGGCGGCAGCGGCGGCGGCGGTGGCCGTGCTGACCGAGGAGGTTATGGCGGCGGCGGACGTGGCGATTTTGGGGGAGGCCGCAATGACCGCGCAGGACAACGAGCTGATCGGGCAGGCCATGGCAACAATCAAGGCAACAAAGGCGGCGGCGACAAGGGCGGACGCGCGGGCAAGAATCAGCCTGACCGCGGCAGGCAGCAGGAGCAGTTTCAGCAGAACAACCAGCAGAGGAACGGCCCCTATCAGGAGAACCGGTCAGCCGCCTCTGCGTCTCCAGCACGCCAACAAGACCGTAGTCAATCGTATTCTCAGCAACCCCCCTCTCAACAGTCACCATCTGGCGGCGGCGGTGGCGGCGGCAAGAACAAGAACCGCAAGCAACGGCAGCGGGAGAAGAGGGAGCGAGAGCGCCAGCAGCAACAACAGCAGCAGCAGCAGCAGCAGCAACAGCAGTCGCAGAAACAGCAACAGCAAAACGCTTCTCCGGCGCCTTCTGGACCCTCGAATGCCAACGCTTATGCGAACAACAGCGGCGCAACTTGGCCGGTGCCGTTCTCAGGCCCCTCTCAACCCGCAATGCCGTATGCTTCTGCTCCACCGCCGCTTCCTCCACCAGGGCCGGCAGCTTATGCACCACAGGCGTCGTATACTCCGCAGCCGCAAGCTGCGGGTCCGGTTCCCGGTCCACCGCAGCAACAGCAGAACCAGGCAGCGAACTGGGCAGCATGGGCACAGTGGTTCCAGGTGGTTGGGGCAATGAGCGGGCAGCAACCGCCGCAGCCGCAGCCGCACATGGCAGCACCGGCACCGGCACCTCCACCGGCACCGGCTCAGGCACAGTATCCTTACGCGTACCAGGCGTATGGACAGAACCCGGGTCCGGCGGCGAACCCGCAGCAGCAGGGCAACGTGCAGGGCGGGGCACAGTCTCTCCAAGACATTCTGCGGGCACTGCAAGGGGGTGGAGCGCCTCAGTAGGCCCGAGGCGTGTCAAGATTGGCGAAGCAAAATAGTACGGCACGCCCCAAAGTATAAGCGGGGGAGGGGTGTACATGTAAAAGGATGAGCAGTGTTTGTGTGCACAGTGAGGGGCATGGCATGTCTGAGCTGGTCTGATGTCAGCCGACGGCAGCGACGTGCAGACGGACAGATGGTAGTAGTTTTCTTTTTCTTTTTTTGTTTGAATCAAGGCACAGGCGCACATGGCATTGTTAGGGTGCTTCGTTGGCAGAAGGCGTGAAGAGATTAGAAGCCGCGTGGTTGGCTAGAAGGATTAATGATTGCTTGTTACCGACTCGATGTTTCGATGGGCCGGCACGTGACATTGTGGTCGTGGCCGTGGCCGTGGCCGTGGTCGTGAGTCAGAGGCTCGACAAGGTTGGGCTGCTTGGGACATGGGGTTCACGTGTTCGTGGGGGAGGTTGCAATGACGAAATGCGAGGGGCTGTGGTGAAACGGTGCGAGTAGGTGAACTTGGGGAGACGAGGGCTGGGGTGCTGGGGTGTGTCTACTAGCAGCAGGATAGGGTTCACGCGCTCAAAGGTTGTCGAGATAGCGCCAGCGTGTGTTGGCCAGGTTGGCGTAATAAGGGGGGGGGGAAGGGGAGGGGAGGAGAAGGGAGACGCGACCTTTGGGTGGTGAGGCATTCGGAGAGAGAGGGGGGCAGACGCCAGACGTCGGAGAAAAGATGCAAAACAAGAGCTTTGTCGTGGGCACGGCGGCATATGTGCAAAGGTCGGCAATTTGCTATGCTTTTGCGGGCAGCCCAAGAAAGAAAAAATTAAGAACCACCATGTGTATGGGTGTGGGTGTGAGCTCGTGGCAGACACGAGGGGAGGGAGCGTGGACAAGCGTGGAGCCCCTGCGGTCAAGGCTGGGTTCGGGGATGGCCCTGGCTGGCAAGTCGTGGGGGGGGGGCTATCTTTTTTGACGGTGATGCTCGAGCAGACAGGCGCGTGGTGGATGCTTGCTCTCTCCTGCTCTCTGTGTGTGTGTGTGTCTCTCTCTTGCTGGGCGGGGGAGAAGAGGTGCGACAGCGCCACCATGCCACGGAGCAGCAGTGCGACAGCTAACACGGGCGCTGTTTAGGGCGGTGCAGTAGGCGTAATAGTAGTGGTCATAGTAACGGCAGCGGCCGCAGGGACAGGCAGGGCAGGGTAGGGGTGGCAGGTGTGTGTGTTGCAGTGCGCGTGTGTGTGTGTATGTGTGTTGTATGTATGTCTGTATGGAGCATGTACTAGTAGTGTGTGGTGTGCATGTGGAAGCGTGTCGAGATGGTGGATTACTGCATGCGGACAGCCCCCAGGTTGGCGTGTTCTAGGCGGGTAGGGCCCCGTCGTGGTGCTGGGTTCGCCGGGTCGCTGGCTGGGCGAGGAATACTGAGGGCGTCTGGCGGGCGCAGGTGGCGCCTGGAAGCTCGAGAACAGGTGAGCATGCCGCTCTCCATACAGCAGAGTGGAGCTGCCCCGAGCCCCAAGCCCTTGTCCACGCCCACGCCCACGCCCACTCCCATGCCCATGCCCCCCCCATCCACCACCGCCATCGCCGCCATCGCCGCCGCCCAGCTCCACCGCCCAGCACCACCACCACTACTGCTACCCTCCTCCCACCGCGACACGAGAGCGCATCCCAGCCGTCTGCTCAAGGCGCTGCCATTGTACACGCTCCACCCACCCGCCTGCTGCACGCCTGCGCCTGTGCCTGTGCCTGCGCGCCTCTCCATCGCTATCCTCGTGCATCGGCGCCCTGCCCATCCTCTACCCTCTCTCGCGCCCTCGCCCTCGCCCTCGCCCTCTCCCTCTCCCTCCCGCTTCCTCTCCCTCCCCCCCTCCCTCTCTCTCGCGCCCGCCCGCCCGCCCTCCTCTCCACCCATCCCCCTCTCCCGTCTTCCTCGTCCTCGTCCTCGTCCTCCCCCACATTCCCGCCGCGCATCCTTCGCCCACACCCAGCCCACCAACTCAGCACCCACCCACCCACCCCCCATCGCCCGCCGAGCCCTCTTTGTCGCCGGTGCTGGTGCTGGTGTCACTACTCGTGCTACTCGTGCTGGTCGTCTCGTCTCGCCTCGCCTTGCCCTGTCCTGCCTTGCCTCGCTTCGCCTCGCCTCCGCCTCCGCTGCCGCCGCCGCCGCCGCCCATGTGCACACCTCCAGCTGCTGTCCCGCCTCGATGAAGCAGCCGTCCTAGGCACCTCTGCGCAAGCAGCCACCCACCCGCTCCCCCGCCCACGTCGTCGCTGCATCTGCGCGGGCTCGTCGCGACACACACACGCACAACCTGCACGCCCCGCCGCCTTCGACCATGACGAGGAATGAGACGGTCGGCCGCCATGCTTCGGTAGAGAGCTCGTGGAGTTCGCGCTCTGGCGACACCATCCGGCCCTATGGACGCGCGGGTTCGCTGAGGGGCACGCCCGTCACCGTCAAGACGGACAAGTCGCTCAATTCCAAGTACGTATTTCCACATCTCGTCCCCCATTCAGGCGCCCGCCAAAGCGGGGGGGGGGACCGTCTGCATGCGCGGTGCGTCCTCGACCCTGTGCCCTGCCCTGCTCCCGCGCCGCGTGTTCTTGCTCAGGTCCCAGAGCCTCGACAACCCGCGCCCGCACCCATGTCTCACCTAGAGTCTCTCTTGGTCTCTCGCCCCGTCTCACGCCTCGCCGCTGCTGCATCCGCCCTCTTCTGCACTCGCATTGCTGACGCCGCCATGTAGTGCTGAACGGGAAAGCGAGATATCGCCCGGCACCGTCCCCCCAGCCCCTCCACCAAAAGACCCCTCGCATCGGCCATGGAAGCCTTCCCATAGAGACGGCGTCGCCATGAGCCCCTTCGGAGAACACCGGAAACAGCTGGCTGTGTTGGAGACCTCTGGAGGAAGAGTGCCCGTCATATCGCGAAACCCGCCCACCGCCACGAGCACCACCCAGGTCACGCCCTGGTCCTCCTCCTCGGTGCCCAACGGAAGCGCCATGGCCAACGGCATCTGGAGCAGCTTCTTCAACGACTCCAATGAAGACGTCTCCTTGGCATCGCCGGGCTTCCGCCCAGGCACCGGCAGCCGCGAGGACAACATGGGCTTCCCGTTGAAGGACGACAGGCGGCCCTCGGTCGCCAGCGCCACCACAGTCAGCAGTACGGGATCAAAGTCGAGCATCGGTCGAGGCTTCCACAAGAGGCTGCAAAACGTATTTGGCGAGGACTTTCCCGCCGATGGCCGCCAGAGCTCAGAAACCAGCTTGAGCATGCCGTATGGAGGCGATTCGCAACCGCCGCGTCCACAGCGCAACCGGGGCAACTCCCTCAACAACACCATAGGCAGCGGCCACCACTCGCGACCAACCTCGCCTACCAGCTCGCGCCCACGCACACCGCAGGCGTCGTCTGAAGTCACGCCATGGGAGTACCAGGATCCCAAGGTGAGTTTGAACCATGAGCTTGTGGGGAATACTACCCAAGGGAAGGCACTTGGATTGCACTGCACATGAACAACTTCGCTCCTTCGCATATCCCATGTCACCTTGCGCCGATGCCGGCCATTGCATCCACTAACTCCCTGAATAGGACATAGGTGCGTACCCTGAGAATGGCGGACGTCGTTCGTCCGAGCAACATTCAGCAAAGTCCGGCCGATCGCACCACAAGCTTAATGTAAGGCTGCCGGGCACCACTCACCGACACAAAGGGAGCAAGGAGGAAAACAAGGCGCCATCAGAGGGACGACCGGACACTAGCCAATCTTACACTCTGCGACCCACTACTAGCCGCGAGGACTCCACATTCAGTGCCCGCCCGAACCAGCCCTCGGCTCTGAGCTCTGCTTTCGCCTCCAAGACGAGTCTGTTGGGGCGCCCGTCAAGTCCTACGCCAAGCTCATACTCGGATATGACACGGGATGAAAAACTAGCACAACGGTCGCCCAGCACTAGCAAGCCAGCCCACGGATTCTTTGCACGGTTGCGAGGCAAGGACAAATCGGATCGAACCGTGCAGCAGTCGGACAGCCTCAAGAACCTGATTGCCTCGGGGACCGCCTCTGCCACCTCGCTAAACCCGTCCATTACTCCTGCTCGGCTTGCAAGGCAAGAGCCTTCTCCACAGGTCAACATGGCGAGGCGCCAGGTAAACAACCCTGGCTTTGATGATAAGTCGCAAGGCAAGGAGCATAGGGGTAGGGCCCCTCATCACCGGTTGCCTACTTTCAGGAAAGACAAGCGCGCGCCAGTCAACGAGCCCACCGGACGGGATCCTAATGACAATATTGCTAGCACAGCAGGCAACGATGCCGTATTCTTCTTGGACAGAAATCTGGACGACATGGAGGGCATTGTCAACCTGCAGCAGCAACCGCCAATGACGCCACCCGTGGGAGAGCTGCAAAAGCAGCCGACGTTTGGCGAGGATTTTGGGGTTCCGCCCGAGGACGATGGCACCGCGGCTTGGGATGCTCCGGATTCTTGGGCCGTGAAGCGTATGAAGGACGAAATCGAGAAGCCGACGGACGTCGAGGACATTCCTACGCCTACCAAAGAAGAAAACGACAACAAGACGTATTGTTTGCGCATATTCAGGGTCGACTCGACTTTTGCAACGCTTTCGGCCACGCTCAACACGACGGTAGCAGAGATTGTTCAAATTTTAGGAAAAAAGACCGTGCTGCAGGACGAACTGGACAATTACCACATTGTGATGCGCAAGCACGACACCTCGCGGCAGCTGGACAGCAGTGAGCGCCCTCTACTCATACAGAAGCGACTCCTAGAACTCGCCGGATATACGGACAAGGATCGCCTGGAAGATGTCGGCCGCGAGGACAATAGTTATCTCTGCAGGTTTACTTTCCTCCCTGCCAAGATGAGTGGATATTCGAGTCTGGAGCGGGACCCTGGCTTCAGCAAGATGCAGAAATTCAGTCACATCGACCTCCAAGGGCGCAATTTGATCACCATTCCTATCACACTGTACCAAAAGGCGACTGAGATAATATCACTCAATCTTTCCCGTAACCTATCACTAGACGTCCCCAGAGACTTCATACTTGCCTGCACCAACCTAAGAGAAATCAAATACACGAGCAACGATGCCCGGCGGCTACCTCCTAGTCTTAGCCTCGCTAGCCGCCTGACCATGCTGGATATTTCCAACAACCGCCTGCAGTCGCTCGACCGAGCTGAGCTGTACAAGCTGCAAAGCTTGCAAGGCCTCCGACTCTCCAACAACGGCCTCACCCGACTACCGCCCTACTTTGGACAATACCGCGCACTCCGCAGTCTGAACCTGAGCTCCAACTCTCTGAACGAGTTTCCTGATTTCCTGTGTGAAGTGCGGACGCTTGTCGACCTCGACATTAGCTTCAATTCGATCTCGAGCCTCCCCAAGATTGGACAGCTGACTTGTCTGGAGAGGCTCTGGGCGACAAACAACAAATTAACAGGCAGTTTTCCGCCCACGCTCAGCAATCTGGTCAACCTTCGGGAAATCGATGTGCGGTTCAATGCACTCGATAGCATGGATGTCATGTCCCAGCTACCGAGACTAGAATACCTCATGATAGGTCACAACTCCATCTCGGCATTTGAGGGCTACTTCCCGAAGATCCGCGTGCTGCACATGAACCACAACCCCGTCACACGATTTGGCCTTACGCAACCAACGCCGTCGTTGTCAGTACTTAATCTTGCATCGGCAAAACTGGCCCAGCTACCCGATGATCTCTTTTCCAAACTTACGGGTCTCACTAAGCTTATTCTCGACAAGAACCACTTCACGTCGATATCGAAAAACATTGGAAAGCTGTACAGACTGGAGCATTTGAGTGTGGCTCGAAATTCGCTCGACGTATTGCCTGCGGAAATTGGACGGCTTGTTGAGCTTCGGTATCTGGATGTGCGAGAGAACAATCTTAGCGTACTTCCTCAGGAGCTGTGGTACGCACGTCGGTTGGAGACGCTCAATGTATCGTCAAACGTCCTTGATGCGTTCCCCAAGCCAGGTGCGGCGCCTCCCCAGGTAACCAATGGTGAGCAGCCACAGACAGATGGGACTGTGACCACACCGAGTCTTAAGGCGACTCCAAGTTACGAGGAGCTAGGAAAACTGGAAGACTTCCAGAACCGCCGTCCTAGTCAGGCGTCAGGTGGACTTACCGTCAGTGGCTCGCCTGCTCCGTCAAACCGAAAAGGATCCATGGCCTCCTACAACTCAACGAGTACCGCGCGCAAGACATCAGTAGCGTCTCGCGCGCCAACTGAAGGAACTGTGACCCCCATGTCCCGCAAAGATTCCAGTTTGAGTAGTCGGCTGGCCACCACTTTTGCGGGCTCCCTACGACATGTGTTTCTGGCTGACAACCGCCTCAACGACGACGTCTTTGACGAGCTATGTCTGCTACCCGAACTGCGAATCGTGAACCTAGGCTACAATCTCATCTATGACATACCGCCTCGCACCATTCGTAGATGGCAACATCTCACCGAGTTGTATCTGTCAGGCAATGACCTGACATCCTTGCCAGCAGAGGACCTCGAAGAAGTCGGCTCACTCAAGGTACTTCATATCAACAACAACAAGTTCCAAGTGCTGCCCGCCGAACTTGGCAAGGTCGCGCAGTTGGCCGTTCTCGATGTTGCGAGCAATTCGCTCAAGTACAACGTCTCGAACTGGCCATACGATTGGAATTGGAACTGGAACCATAAACTGCGGTACCTCAATCTGTCTGGCAACAAACGCCTGGAGATCAAGCCCAGTGGATCGTACAGTGCCAACGGCACGAGCATGCGCGAAGGTCGCGACCTCACAGACTTTAGTTCTTTGATCAACCTCAGGGTTCTTGGTCTGATGGACGTTACCATGATGGTGCCTTCGGTTCCCGAGCAATCAGAAGACCGCAGAGTTCGTACAGCAGGTTCGGCTGTCGGCACAATGGCGTACGGCATGGCAGATTCACTGGGCCGCAACGAGCACATTTCGACCATGGACATGGTTGTACCCCGCTTCCGCAGTCATGACGATGAACAGCTGTTGGGGCTGTTTGACGCACAACCACTTGCTGGAGGCGGTTCCAAGATCGCCAAGTACTTGTACGACAATTTCAAGAACCGATTCGCCGATGAGCTTGAACGCTTGCGACCGCAGGAGACCCCGTCAGATGCCCTGAGACGAACCTACCTAGGGCTCAACAAGGAACTGGCTACTGCTGCGACCCAAGCACTCGATAAGAACGCTTTCACGTCACCGACTCAACAACGCAGTTCGGTGCCCGAGCTCAGCGATGACGATCTGACTTCGGGAAGCGTGGCTACTGTACTGTTTCTGAAAGAGATGGAGCTTTACATATCCAACGTCGGTGATGCACAGGCACTGCTGATTCGATCTGAAGGAGGACACAAGATTCTCACACGAAAACACGACCCCGCTGAGCCAGGAGAGCGGGCCAGGATACGAGAGGCTGGAGGATTCGTGTCGCGGCAGGGAAAGCTCAATGATGTGCTTGAAGTTTCACGAGCCTTTGGCTACGTGCAAATGTCACCATCCGTCATCGCTTCGCCCCACATCATGAACCTGACTCTGGGCGATACTGATGAGATGGTTTTGGTCGCTTCCCGGGAACTCTGGGAATATCTCACGCCAGACTTTGCCGTCGATGTTGCACGATCCGAGCGCAATGATCTTATGAGCGCTGCTCAGAAACTTCGCGATCTGGCGATTGCATTTGGTGCCACGAACAAGATCATGGTCATGTTGCTCGGAGTCAGCGATCTCAAGAGCAAGCAGCGTGCTCGGTACCGCACTCAGAGCATGTCTTTGATTCCTGCTCCCGGCGCTGATCCCGACTGGGGCGCGTCCCGCAGGCGTGGAAAGAAGGGTAATCTTGTCGGCGATTCCAAGCTGGCGCGACTTGACAATGAGGTGGACGCGCCAACTGGAGAAGTCAGCCTGGTGTTTACCGATATCAAGAACTCGACAATACTGTGGGAGACATATCCAATTGCCATGCGATCCGCTATCAAGATGCACAACGAGCTCATGCGCCGACAGTTGCGCATCATTGGCGGCTACGAAGTCAAGACTGAAGGTGATGCCTTCATGGTTGCTTTCCGCACGGTAACGTCGGCGTTGCTTTGGTGTTTTACGATCCAAAGTCAGCTGCTGGAGGTCCAATGGCCCCAGGAGATTCTCAACAGCGTAAACGGACAAGAGGTGGTGGATGCTGATGGTAATGTCATTTTCCGAGGTCTATCAGTGCGCATGGGTATCCACTGGGGTACACCTGTGTGCGAAGTCGACCCCGTCACCAAGCGTATGGACTACTTTGGTCCCATGGTCAATCGCGCCTCGCGTATCTCGTCTGTCGCCGATGGAGGCCAGATCACAGTCTCATCGGACTTTATTGCCGAGATTCAACGTCTCCTCGAGACGCACATTGAGGGCGACCGCAACAACTCGGCAGGTTCAGAAGAGGCGTATGGCGATGATCTTAACAGCCAAATGATCCGTGGCGAACTGCGCTCTCTGAGCAGCCAGGGTTTCGAGGTCAAAGACCTAGGCGAACGCCGCCTCAAGGGCCTGGAAAATCCCGAATACATCTACCTCATGTACCCACACTCTCTCGCCAGCCGTCTCGCCGTCCAGCGACAGACGGACCAGAAGCCAGAGCAGAAAGCCGAGGCTACAGCTGGGCAAAAGATGGCGGGTAGTCAGCTCACCATTGACACTGAAGATGTATGGGATCTCTGGAACATCAGTCTGCGCCTAGAGATGCTCTGCAGTTCTCTCGAGAGTCCAGGATGTGTGGAGTTGAAGCCACCCGAGACAGCGCTGTTGGAGAGAATGAAGAGTCGGGGCGGTGAAATCACGGATCGATTCCTGATCAACTTTGTGGAGCACCAGATTTCTAGGATCGAAGTGAGTTTCTAATTTTACGACGAAACATCGAATGCTAACAGCATAATAGTCTTGTGTAAACACGCTTGCCCTGCGCCATCTGATAAGGCCATTCGGTGCTGCCCCTCTACTTCAACAGGCCTGTCACATGGGAGACATCTTTACGGAACTGGAGGCCAAGCTGAAGCGGCTTGAGGAGTTTGAACGAGGCGCAATGGAGGGAATGGCACCCTCATGAGATCCGACAACGACCATTACACACGCATTACTGTCACGTCATGACACCTTATCGCCCCACGGTGTACGCAAAAGGAGCAGATGACGACCACGACACGGCATCATCATCAGAAGCAGAATCACCATCACCAAAGTCATACCTTTACAACCACTCTATGTTTATCCTAATCCATCAGTCATATCTCTCTCTCTTTTTTTTTCTTCTCCTCGCTATTCATACCTCGGCGTCATAGCACGGGTCGGGTCATGGGGGGAGGGGTTCGGCGGATTCCCCGGCGTCTGTCTGTCTGTATCATACCTTGTCACTCTCACACACACACACACACACACACACACACAAACTCATCCATATCCAACAAGACAAACATTACTGCCCTGGAGGCTTACCCCGTTACAGATACTTCAATAGCAATGTCATCACTTACGCACAATCACATCCATACATATATACGTACACACAGACAGACAGACAGACAGTGCCTACCTCGTTTCTGGGGTACTTCACGGAGAACAAGGAGGCGCCATGGTCATTTTTTTTCTCCTTGTTCTTCTTCTTCTTCTTTTCACATGGAACTGCTTTTTTGTTTTTGTTTTTTTTTGTTTTTTTTCTCTTTGCTCGGTTGTTTGTCGGTTTGCTTGGTTTTGGTGGTTTGCTTGGTTTTGGTCCGTTGTTTGCTTCGCTTTATCCATTGTCCATTGTCCATTGTCCATTGTCCATGCAAAGACCTCGAGGTTCCTGGTTTTTTTTTGTTCCTTTTTGTTGGGTTCCTTCCTTCCTTTTTTACGGCTGCTGCTGCTTCTGCTGCTGCTGCTTCTCGGTAAGGGGGAGGCGCGACGGGCTTCTGGCAAAGCACGAGGCAAAGCACGACACAAGGCAAGGCCAGGCCAGGCAAAGGAGAGCGATGAATTTGTGTTGTTTTACCCCCCCTTCCCCTCTAAGTACCTCTTTTTGTGTCGAAGAGGGGAGCATGGTGTGCTTTGTTTTCTTCTGTTTTCTTCTCTCTTTTTTAGTTTATTGCTTCAACGTTGGTTTTGGTGCGATTATGATTTTCGGGTTTTTTGGGGGTTTTATCCATCCTCGCGGTTTCCATGCCCCCCCCCTCTCTCTCTCTCTCCCTGATACTTTTAGGAAAGGCTGTGCGAGTGTGCGTGTGTATGTCTCTACCTCTCTACCTCTCTATGTATGTATGTATGTATGTATGTGTGGATGGATGGATGTGTACATGTGTACATGTGTAGGTGGATGAGGCGGGGGTATACTCTGTATCCCGTGTTTACAACAAACACGACCTACAAAGTACAACCACATTCTTATTCTTAACTTTTTTTTGCTTACTCTTTTTGTCTGTCTGCCTGTCTGTCTGTCTCTACGTGTGTGTGTGTGTATGTGGGTGTGAGTATATGAAGTCACAGTTTGTTAAAATTTTTACATTGGTTTAGTTGGATTAATGTGTGTCTGTGTGTGTACGAGAGAGAGAGAGAAACCATGTTACTATCTACTCTATCTATATATATGTCTACCTCTCCTCACTACATACGTATAATACATTGTCTATCCCAACTGAGTTTCTTGCCCTGGTGTGTACTTTGTTCTAGCGTAGCTGAGCGTTACATACCGTGTAAGTAAGAATCAAGTAAGTAAGAGGTAAGACCGAGTATGTGAAGGAAAAGAAAGAAGAAGAATGGAGAGGAAGGAATACTCGATATCAACCACATTCTCGATCCTATTCTTGTTTGTTGCTACGCACAGCACGCATGGAACAAAAAGGGGATTAAGAAAGGAAAATCCTACAAATATATATACAACTCTCACTCTACATATTCTGGATATTTTGCATTTTCATGTTTCATCATTATCAACAACACCCCTCAAGTCCTCCCAAGCAGCCCCCTCAACCCCCTCAACTCGGCACTAACCGCCTCACGGCTCTGCAGACTCAAGCTTGCAGCTCGCTGCGCAAACGGCACGAGATCCTGGACACGTTGTGCGCGGGCGATTCCATGGGCGAGGGCGCCGCAAAACGTGTCTCCGATGCCATTTACACTCTGGACTTCATGCGGCGCGAGGACTTTTTCAACGGGGAAACAGCGGACGTATAGGCCGCCTACCGCAGCACCAGTAGCAGGACGCATGTTCCGTGCTAGGACAAACGGGCGCTCGGCATCTAGATGCAGTTCTGGGGCATCAGCGCCAAGTAGCTTGGTCATGAGCACGCCGTCAGGCCCCAGTTTAGTCAGGATGGTAGGGAAGAAGGGGAGGAGCTTGATGGCTTGCTGTGGAATGCCCTGGTCGACAAGGGCGCTGCCTGCGGCGAGGGCGAGTGGAACGCGGAGACCTGCGTTGGGGATGCCGAGGGCGTCGATGACGGCGAACCAGGAGGGGTGGTCAAAGTATGAAGCTTGCTGTGCGTGGTCGTGCAGAGCGGCGAGCTCGTATGTGTTGGGCGTTGTGATGTCTGCGAGGGGCGTGGGGAACACCGAGGGAGCTCCTGTCGGCGGGAAGATGCGCAGGGCTTTGGCTGTCGATACCGGCTCGAAGATTGTAGTGGTTTTGGTGTCGCGCGCGGCTTGGAGCCAAGTGTGCAGTGCAGACGAGGACCAGTTTGCGTCTGCGACGAAGGCTTTTGGCGGGCAAGACGTTTGCGTGAAGACGTGGTTGGCAAGTTGGCGGATTGTGTCGTCAGACATTGTTTCTAGAATCGACATGTCGGCCATGGCGAGGGCGAGATCTTTGTTGGTGTTGTTGATGGCGACGTATTGTGCGGTCCGGGATGGAGCTGGTAGTGTTTTGATGCCAGCAACTGACATGCCTTCGTCTTGCAGTTGGCTGATGGCTGCTCGGCCACTCAGGTCGTCGCCCACGGCACTGTGCAGGCGGACAGATGAACCGAGCAGATGAGCGGCTTTTGCAATGTTGTGAGCTACACCTCCGAGTGTCTGTGTGATGATGGCAGGATTAGATGTATGTGGAGATGGGTCCGTCTGGCTAGCAGACGTTGTCAAGGGAGCAAAATCACACGAAAAGTCTACTGCAAGAGCGCCTGCAACGACAACATCGGCATCTTGCTGCATTTCAGGGTGAGATGATATACTGGTGGCAGCAGGGGTAGAAGGGGACTCAGATGGTGATAGAGATGCATTGCGTAGCCGCTCTTCTGCGGTAGACGCCGGACTGGACTGAACAGGTGTAAAGTAAGAAGTAGGTCTAGGATACTTACATCAGCGCCAGTATACTATTGAGCAACAAGAGTGCCGGCCTCACCCTTGGGCTTCTTGTTGTTTCGCTTCTAGAACGGCGAGTTCTCGTGCTACAATGGCGGCCCGCTTGACGTTGGATTCGATGAGCGCCCTGTTGGCAGGGATCGACTTGCCCTTGGTAAGCTCCTTGATCTTGGCCAGCACAAAGGGCGTGTTGTCTTTGCCTGAGATGTTTGCGGCATTGGCCTGTCGCAGAGCCTCCTCGATGACAATGTCCATTTCTTCCTTGGGTATGGCAAACTCTGTCGGGACAGGGTTGGCAAAAAGGAGACCAGAAGAGATTTGGAGTGTGTGTTGTGCATCTGGTTAATGTTAGAGGTGTTTGTCAGGCAGAGTGAGTACGCACGTATAACAGCAGCAGCTTCAATTTCATCTGCGATAGTCACGGGACTCTTGACTCCACTGTCTCTGGACCAAAAGGCGGGAAAGTCTACATTTCCGGCGCGTCCGTCGGCAAATGTGCCCACGCCCACGCCCTCAGTCTCAAGGTACTCTATTGTTCGCGGGATGTCCAGAAAGCTCTTGCAGCCACTGGAAACCACTGTGACTGGTGTTCTACCCAGCTCCGTCAAATCGGCCGAGATGTCCATGCTCGACTCGGCGCCGCGGTGGACACCACCAAGCCCGCCTGTACCGAAAATCTTGATACCCGCGAGGTGCGCCAGCAGCATGGTCCCAGATATGGTGGTGCCGCCATTGAAGGACTTGTTGGTTAGTCGCGTGCCACACACATAGCCCAGGTCTCTGCGTGAGAGCTTCAACGTGTTTGCCTGCCCAGCCGAAGAAGCCAGTCTTATGAGCTCCTCTGGATCCAAGCCCACGCGTGCCACGCCATCCAAGATGCCTATCGTGGCTGGGATGCCGCCTTGCGCTCGGACGACGCTTTCGAGAAGGGAGGCAAGGGCTACATTGTCGGGATAGGGGAAGCCTGGCCGGCCAATTAGCTTCCTTGACATGCATGTATTCTATCTGTGCCCTCACCATGGGTGTAGATGGTCGTCTCGAGCGCGACGACGGGCTTGTTGGAATTCACAGCTTCGCGCACTTCGTCCGAGACACGAAAAAAGCCATTGTTGGTCAGATGGCGCCTCCCCGACGCCCTGGCTATCGCTGAAGACGCTGAGGGCGCCAGGGGCCTCCGGAGTGATTTTGCCAATAGCCTCATGGTGGGATTGCAGAGGGGCAGTCTGTAGAAAAGCCATGGAGGGGTGGTGGAGCTTGAGCAGCTCGCGCACAGACGCGGAGGTGCCTGGAACTCCGAAGAGAACACGACGCAATAGCCGCGTACGCATCAGTCGAACCAACACGCCAACCCGACCACATTCCTTCGACCAGCCCCCGACCTCATACATGACTGGATAGCGCGACTGCTGTTCACGATGAGGCCTCTCTCCCTCACAAGCTGCCTGGCAGCTCTAGCAAGCTTCGCCAGCGCCGAATTGAACCTCTCCCAGCCGCTGCAATCCAAGCAAGTGCTGCCCAGCACATTCACACCACCCCAGGTATTCAAGAATGCCAATCTCGTCCGCAACACAAACCTGGACAAGGCCTACCCAAGAGAGGTCATCAATGTCGTAATTGAAAACATTGATGGAAAGGCGCAGTCGGAATACTATCTGCCCTTCGACTCGAGCGTGCTGGCAAAGATTGGCGGATTGGAAGTGCGGGACAAGAAGGCGCCTGAGCAGGCCGCCTTCAAGGTCGAGGTTGTAGGCTTCGACGCTGAGAGGTATGTGTGCAGCATGTCACATCTGCATGGCGCCGCGACTGACAAGCCCAGCTCCGTCGAGTTCTACAAGATCCACCTCCCCAAACCCCTCGCCCCCAAGGCGCAGCAGACCATCAGCATCTCCTACTCGATCCTGTCCACCCTCAAGCCTGTGCCCGCGGAGATTGCCCAGACAGAGAAGCAGTACCTGCAATACGACTTCAACGCATACGCTCCATCAGCCTACCTGACCGAGAAGCAGCGCACCAAGGTCAAGTTTCCCAACAGCGACATACCAGACTACACGACCGTCCCCGCCGAGCTCAACGACGAGCAAAAGGCCGACCCCCAGAAGCAGGGCTCTACCTTCACCTATGGACTCTACAACAATGTGCCCGCTGGAGCTCATCACCCCGTAAGCGTGCGCTACGAGTACACCAAGCCCATCATGCAAGCAACGCTTTTGGAGCGCGATCTCGAAGTCTCGCACTGGGGCGGTAACCTGGCCACGGAGGAGAGGTACTGGCTCGTCAACCAGGGTGCAGCACTCAAGAACCACTTTTCGCGTGTCGAGTGGCAGAAGCAATCATACATGAACCCCCCAACCTTTGCGCTCAAGGATCTTATTGTTCCTCTGGCTCCCGGCTCCGTGGACCCCTACTTTACTGATGACATTGGCAACGTCTCGACCTCCAAGTTCCGTCCAGGCCAAAAGGATGCCTTGTTGGTGTTGAAGCCACGGTACCCCATCTTCGGAAGCTGGAAGTACAGTTTCCGCATTGGCTGGAATGCTGATTTGTCTTCGTATCTGCGCAAGCTCTCTACGGGCGATACGTACGTGTTCAAGGCTCCTTTTCTCGAGGGACCCCGTTCGGTTGAGGGCATGTCGTACGGCCGCGTGAACCTTCGCGTCATCCTCCCCGAAGGCGCTACCAACGTCAAGTTCACGACTACTGTCCCCATTGTGGCCAATGAAACCTCGCTGCACAAGACTTTCATGGATACTGTGGGCCGCACTGCGCTGACCTTGACTGCCATCAACCTGGTCGATGACTTCAGGGACCGCGAGCTGATTGTCACGTATGACTACCCCTGGATTGCGGGATACCGGAAGCCTATCGTCATTACACTGGGCCTGTTTGCCTTTTTGGCGGTTACGTGGGTGTTGGGCAGCATTGACACGAGCATTGGCAAGAAGAAGACTGCGTAGACGGGGGGAAGAGAGAAGAGTGTACGAGATTTGCAATGTTACAATAGCTAGAGCAAGGAAAAGTCATGGGATTGGAGCATCGGAAGTAGCTTCGAGCAGGCTTTAGCACGGTTGGGCTATGAGCGAGTAACGCAATGTTTTTATTGTCATGTAAAGAAGAATCAATACCGGAGTTCAATTTTCGTCAATTAGGGGTATCATGCACAACTTGGACGCAACACACGGGACGCTCTTAGGACAGACACTGACGCTGCTCCCTCCAGCATCTTGGCCAGGCAAAGAGTACCAGCGAACGGTGCCCAGAACATGTCGTCTCTGACGGTTAAAAAGGATCCGCCCTCCCCTTGATACGATGAACATGGCGACAAACAACCATAACACCCTCTTCACAGCCCAACCTACCCACCTCAGCTTTAACACACTGAGCAATGCGCTCCGCAATCGCCACACTGCGATGCGTACCGGCATGACAACACACACTCATACTGACCTCGAGCCTCCGGGCGCCTTGGCCGCGCCTCTCCCTGCGATTCTCCTCGTCGCCAAACCGCAGCAGCTCGCGCACTGCAGTACTCGCGGCCCGCCGCGCACACGCATCCTGCATGACAATGTCCTGGATCAGCGGCGAGATGCCCGAGTACCGCTCGCACAGCGCCGCCGACGGCGGCTGCATGTTGCGCGCGTCAATCGTGTACAAGTGCGGGATTCGAGGGTCCCGTCGTGGCACCTGCGATGCGAGAAGCGATATCGCCGACGTCTCGCTGCGGATCAGGTCCGTCGAGTATGTTATGATGTAGACGGTTGGGCGGGCGGGCGGTGCGAGTGAGAGGGGCGGCGGGATGGTGAGGGGGTAGGAGAGGGTTGGAGGTGTGGTGTTGTGTTTTTGTCGAGTGTGGTGGTGATGGTGTGAATAAGAGTAGGATTGGAATTCCTTTGCCGTTGTTGCTGTTGTCGTTGGAGGCGGCATTTGGGGGTTGTGCGAGCGAGACAGAGATGTGCTGGTGGTAGTAGTAGTAGTGGCGTGATGGGGCTGAGGATATGATTTTTCTTCTTCTTCTTCTTCTTCTTCTTCTTCTTCTCGTCGTGCCTGGTATCTTTCTCTCACACGCTCCTGTTCTTCTCTCGCGGCCGTTCTTGCGGGCCTAATGCTGCTTTGCTGCGAAACAGGGAGGTCGAAATGCACGTGTCTGGTGTGCTGCGTGTCCCTGAGACCCGGCTTGCGGGGAACGTGGTCTTGTTGGCGTGGATGCGCTGGACTGGAGTGACGGCGGGAGTTTGTTTCTACGGGGCGGTAGGGCGTCTGCGGTGGCTGTAGTGGTGATGGTGGATACGGCGCCTCGTAGTAGCGACGGGGTTCTGCCCAGAGGGGCCTGGACATGTATCTTGAGCTGTAGGACTGTGTTGTCAAGTGGTGAGGATAATGTAGAGGAGTGAGATACGGAGATGGAGGTGCACATGGGACAGGAGGGTATCGATACATTGTCGCTACTGCCTTGGGTTGCTTCTGTTTTTCTTGCGGCTGAAGCCACAGCGCGCGTTCTCATCACAACGTGTACAGTGAAAGACGTATGATCAACCAGGACTTAGTGGCACAGGTGTATTTGACATGCTGTTTTCTATAGGTTCTTTGGTCAGGCTTATGGTAGCACATTGTAATTCAGGCATCGTGCGGTTGTGTGTCGAGGGAAATTGATAGGTGGGTATGGTTCGTCGAGTTACAGTTACATCAATCACATGGTCTTGTTGCCTCGCCATATGCTTTGTATAGATAGATATATGTTGCACACGAATGTAGATGGGACTCATGAGTGAGACATGAAGTTGTAGGCAAGTCAATTGGAATCATATATTTTGTTTGAAGCTCGAAGCTGATGTAGATGCGATATCACGAGCATAGAGAGAACACACTAATCAAGAGCTATCAATCAAGGAGACAACTCATAACTATAGAGAAAGACTAGTAGATTTAGACAATCACATGGTCAAGATATTTTGCAGGAAAGAGCGATAATGCTTGGGAAGTGACGAGTATTGTGAAGACGACAGTGGCCAAGAGGGTAAGGGCAAGAACACCTACGTAGGATACTCCATCTTCTCACACTCTCCTTCACTCATGTACACATGTATCAACACTATTTTCAAAACATCAAAAAATATGTCATTTTCATGCTATACGTTTCACAACATGACGGTTTCGTCTATGCAAGTCCATCCAGGACTACTGAATCATGGCAAGCTCGGAGCTTCATATGGACATAGATTGTGCATCTTGGAACTCCAAGTACGTGCTTAGTCTTCAGCATGACAGCAGCAGCAGCAATAACAAAGGTGACATAATGATGACAGATTAGACCTATACTTCTCAACAACAGCAGTCTCTTCACCGGCCCAAGGATGCTTACGATAGCAACCCCGAGTACTATTACAGCAGCGGGGAATAGCATCCAGCGTCCCTTGCAAAAGCTACATAGAGTGGATCCCCCTCCCCCTCGCTCTAGACAGTAGGCACCTGCTAACCTTGCCTCTGCACGACATTTGTTGCGCCATTGTGTTCAAGGTTGGTGATTGCGCGTCGGCATGTCGCGTCGACAAAAAAAGGGTTGGTCCGAACCCTCCCCCCTCCCCTTGGATGCTCCGCTCAAGCGCGGCCTGGCGCCTCTCCACATGACCATGGCTCTCGGTTGGGTTGGGCATCACTGAGTGTCTGTTGTCACATCGCGTACTTTGGTTCATGACTTGGCCAGCCGTTTTTGGCCCAGGGTGTGCGGAGTAGGCCTCCGGTCGAATCTTGCCGTGTGCATGTACCTGATTCAGGCCGCTCGGACATTGGGCAGCGAGCTCCGTCCCATGGCATCGCGACGACGGCGACGACGGCGACGACGACGACGACGACCTTGTTGTACGCAGACCGCTCCAAAGGCGCCGTGTCGGGAACCTTGGCGACATCCACAGACGATCAGCTTGGCCATGTGAAGGCGAACGGGCTATGTGGCCAATGAGGCCGTGCAGAGAGTCCGAGAGAATGGGCACGTCAAGCTGTCGTGCGTTGGAGTGGAGCCAACATCTGACGCCCGTTGTCAAGCCAGACCCACAAGACACGCTGAGTCCTTGCGCGATCCCCACGACTTCAAACGTCTCGTTCTGTGGGGCATGCGTAACACGCAGGCGTATCCTAACGCCGATAGTCCGGAATTGCGGTCTACCATGTAAAGGGCCGATGAGGGCGGGCGGGCGAGGGGACCTGAGTTCCATACCGCTAAGTGTCCTTGACCAACGACATGCCTTGGGACGCCAAAGAAAAACCCCCCCCCCATCGTATGATAAAAGGGGACGTGACTATCTCGCTCCCGATGCATGCACATCCAGGTCGGCGACCAAAAATCCCATGGCCACGTTTGAGTAATTCCCAGGTTCTCCATAGCAATGCAACGGCCGTGGGCGGTGCACACTCAACTCCAACTCTTTTGCACTATTGATTCCGGCTCGATTGGACAATGCAGAGCGGCCGAGGGCGACGCTGAGCTGTGGGCAAAGGGCCGAATGTATCATCCTTCTGGAACACCGATCCTTTCTCGGTTTTAGTCGCGACGGCGCTCCAACTACTACACACATAGTACATTACGAGCAACGTGCGCCCCCGGCCCGGCCTTTGATGCAAACAGCCGTCAATAGTCCGGCTCACTCGTGAGCATTCGTTGTGCCGAAGTGCCCGCACAGACGATCCGATATTACTTACCAGCAGAGCATATTGCTCCGATGCGACGCTCCGAGCACACGAATCCATGTAGCTAGCATCCATCTCTCTATGCAGGCGGTCAAAACGTCCTGCGATGGCACCCATGTCGGTATGTAAATAGCGTCGACCAGGCGCAAACAGGCGCCCTGCATCGGACCGCAAAAAAAATAAGAGGACACTGGACACCCTGGAGAACATGTCCTGCGCAAGTATGCAAGATGAACGTGCAAAACCAGCGGTAACAGATAAGGGAATCAATCGGAGACATACTGTAGGTGGTCAGTGCGTGCAACTGTTCAGCGGATGCAACACCATCTGCACCTTCCCAAAACAGACCCACCCACTTCAACGCGTGATAACTCCACCACCATGACTCCAATTAAGAAAGCGCTTGCAGCAGTTGATGCGCAAGATCCCAAAGAACGACTTTCGTATAGAGCAGCTGCGAAAAAGTTTGGTGTTGTGTTGTCAACGTTGACGCGCCGCCACCACAAACAAACCCAGTCCTGTGCAGCCGCCGCAGAAAACACGAAATTACTCACTACACAACATAAAGCTGAGCTTGTAAAGTATATATAGAAGCTTTCTAGTCGTGGGCTTGCACCTACCAGGTCCATGATAAAAAATTTTGTGTCGAATATTGCAGAATGGGAGCCGTCAGATAGCTAGGTCACACGCTTTCTGGACCGCAACACCACCGACCTTACCATCAAATACACCACCGGGATGGACCGCAATCGTCACGAAGCTGATAGTCATGATAGTTATCGATCATATTTCGATCTCATCTTCGGGAACTCGATGACTACGACGTTGCGCCGCATAACATCTACAATATGGACGAGAAGGGCTTCCTACTTGGGTCCACCACAA